TTCCTTTGCTATAGAAATTTTCCGATGCACAGGGGACCTTCTTACGGCGGAGAAGCAACAACACAATGGCTACAGGCGATAGGATTGAGCCATAATCGGTATCCTGCAGATTTTCTATGTACTGAATAGTAATACCAGACAAAAAAAAATCGGCATGTTCCAAGAGGATTAGGCCAAAGCCCGACTCCATGTTTTTTCTTCGCCAACAGAAGCAACATATGTTTTGAAACATGCAACCTGCAGCAACTAGCAAACAAAACTCCCATGCATATAAATATATGTGTAGTCCTATTAGCACATATATATGCTTTGTACCCTAATTGCCGCAATCAATCATGGCACCGCAAAACTCCAACAGAATAAACTATGGAACGCAAAAGGGGCAAAATTGAATAATAAAAGGCAATTCCTCAATCTCGCCTGCAATTAGAGGTGGCAAATGGATTGGATTGGTGGATTGGTGGATTGGATTGGTGGATCCATGGATCAAACGGATTGGATCTAATGGATTGGTGGATTCATGGATTGGATCAAGTGGATTGGTGGATTATCCATGAATCCAAATGACATCCTCAATCAAGGACCAATATGTAAAATGTAAAAAGTTTAGGTACTAAAATGTCATAATGAAAAATTTTAGGTACCAAAACGTAATTTTCCAATGATATTTTTCGTATAAAAATTTAAATTTTAGGTACCAAAATGTAAAAAATAAAAATTATAGGTACTAAATCGTAATTTGCCAATGATCCATGAATCCAATCCATGAATCCACCAATCCAATTGGATTTGGATCAAATGGATTGGATTTAAATGGATTGGATTAGGTGGATATTTTTAATGGATTGATGGATTGGATTGGTGGATTGGATTGAAATTGCCACCTCTACCTGCAATGCATGTTCTTCTTCTCGCGGTAGTAATTGTGGTTTGGAGAGCGGCGATTCTTGCAGCCAGATGCGATAATAGAATTTGTTCGGTACACATGACAGCAACCGATCGTCTTAAAATTGTTAGAAACCGAACAAACAATAGGGTTACCGATTTGGCTGAGTCGCGGACTAGGTCGCTCTCTTTAAGACGTTCGCGGCACTGCCTCGTTATTCGCACAGCAGACTATCAGCCGGTCGCCTCCAGGATAAAACAGCCACTCTTTTGATTTGCTCAACGGTTTTGTGCGGAAAACCGGAGCTCTTTGAATCTCACTCTCTCTCGTGTTTTTGCTCTTCTGAGGTGTGTTTAGAGGGTCTGGGGCGTCTCCTATTTATAGGAGCAGAAAACCCAGAATATTCCCTCTTTCTTTGGGAATAAGTCATATTTTAATTAGGAAGATAATTACTCTCATAATTAAAATATAATCTATTAAGATAAATATTCCTTTTATTAATTATCCATCTTATTTATGTATTATGGGAAAATACTGGATAATTAATTAGGAATTTCATTTATAGCTTTTCAAAGCTATTCATCCCAACAATTTGGATGAGCGAGAAGATCATCATTACATCCGTGTTCATAAATTCATATCGAATCCCACAGTCGACAGGAGACTAAGCCATGTGTTTTTAATATTTTTTTTCTTTTTCAAGGGGATTTGAACGGAGATATGGTTTATGAGAAATACAACTTCCTTATCGTTACTGCAAAGCAGTCATGCTAGTGCCAGATCCCAAAACAAGCATAGAAGAGTAAAAATGGAAGACATTGATACTTTACTTGCTTCTTCATCCGCATGAGATCCAGGGGAAACTTTTATGTCAACCTGCAGAAAAAGTAACAACAAAGGCATAGCTGCTTTTATATGGTTCATGAAAAAGAATTTGGTCTAGCTCAAAGTGAAATTATAGCTTCAAACTAGCTAAATTCTCCCAGGATTCCCACTGAAACAAGGAAACTGAATCACGGTTTAGCTGATAGCGAACTTGAGATACCAATATCTGCAACACATCCGTGGAAGTGTGGAACTGACCTTGTAATGAGGAGGGAAACATTCTTGTAACTTCACTCTAAGGCACAGACCAATTACAGTCGCCATGCTGCAATGCTGTATGGTTGGAGTGAATGTAATCCTATTGAACAACACCAAAGACACAATACTCACTCACAACTAGTAAACATTCATGGAAAGAGCAGATAGGTCTGAATCCAAACTACCTTGATGAATCCGCTTAACGAATCGATACAGCTTTAAGTACGAAGAAAACTCATCCAACATCGTGATCAAAACTTCTCCACACATTGATACAATTAGCAGCCGCAAAAGTTAGACTGCTAACAAGCGTTTTTGTTAGCAGATACTAACACGGGCCGGATTTAAGCCACGTCCCAAATGCTGCGATCCAAGGGCCAAGAAGGAAGGGGGTTGTGTTGGGCGGGAGAAGGAAAATGGGAAAAGTGGGCCGGCTAGGGGGTTTGGGCGGGAGAAGAAGAAAGGAAAAAGTGGGCCCTGCGTGTTATATTAAAATTAGGAATAGAAAACAAAAAAATCAGAAGCCATTACATTAAATGCCGCCCAACTACCCAACTCTCCAGCCGCCGTCTTTTCCTTTCCACCGTCTCTCTCTCTCTCGCCGTTTTTCTCTGTTTTCACTCACGAACAGTAACTCCGGCCACCGTCTTTTCCTTTCCGGCGATCCTTGTCCACCAGCCGAAGGATGCTGATCGACGAGGATGGTGAGTTGGATGATCAACGAGCTTCTCCAATGAAGAAGGATAAGCCGATCATCCAAAATAGTGAAGAAGAACCCTATCCTACATCATATGAGTTTGTTGAAGAAGATTCAGGTGGTGCTCCTACCCTCGAAGAAGAAGAAGAAGAAGAAGAAGAAAAAAAAAATAAAGGTTGATTGAGTAATCTATATATATGTTTGTGTTGTTGTGAGATTGATTGGTTGCATTGAATGCCATTTAATGATATTGATGTTGTTATGAGGTACTGATACGGGGTTCATGGATACGAATTACTCGGATGTATGATATTAGTCTGGACATGTTGGGCGTGGTGTGTAACCTACTGTTTAATATCCCTGTTTGATACTAATCTGGTACTTATGGATATTATTTCTTAAAGACTGGATATTTGTTGAAGCCTATGTACTCTAACAGTTTGTGGGTAATATTTCATTTGTTTATTGGACAATATGGATAATAACATGTCTCATACCATTAACTCGCAGCTCATAACACATTGGACCTAGAAGATGAGGAAGCGAGGAAGAACATCTTTTTTCGTACTAAGGATGAGTGCTTGGATTTCTATAAACGCTATGCTCACAAAAAAGGGTTTGGTATTCGAATAGATGGGGAACACATAAAAAACAGGAAGAATTCTAATGGAGTGGTGGAGAAAAATTATTTGTACCTTTATTACTTTTGTAATAAGGAAGGTTGGACAAGCACTAGCGAAGTAAATGTCAATGTGGACTAACAGAGACAGCAGGAAGAAAAGGTTGTGGAGAGAAGGCGCCCTAAAAGAAAGAGGGCTCGAGTTAGGGATGGATGTCCCGCCCGTGTTCGTTTTCGATGGGATGCTACTAGGGATAGATTTGTGGTGTATGAATTCGTAGAAGCTCACAGTCATGATTTGCACTCTATCGAGCATATGCACTTGCACAAGTCCAACAAGTGCATGAGTGATGTTCAGAAAAAGATGGCCGAAGTGAATCGCGATGCCAGGATGAGTCTTAGTGCATCGTATCAAATATTGGCTGACTGTGCTGGTGGCTATCAAAATCTGAGATTTACCAAATCCGATCAGAAGAACCACTTGAACAGTAAAAGGCAAAGGAATATGGCTCGTGGCGAAACGACTTATTTGCTTGACTACTTTGAGGACCAAAAAGAAAAGCATCCTGGCTTCTTTTATGCTGTAGAGGTAGATTGCGAGGAGAAAGTTGCTAATATTTTTTGGGCGGACAGTAGGATGCGTGAAGATTATGCGCTTTTTGGAGATTCGGTCTCCTTTGATACCACCTTTCGAACCAATAAATACTTCCGTCCACTGGGTACGTGAACCACCTAACGAAGATGTTTTTTCAACACTCGTTTGGTTATACATTGTCATTAATAGTTTTCTTATGCATAGATGTTTGTACGTCTTTAAGGGATCTGATATTGACATGTGATATGCTTTTGTAACAGCTAGGATACTAGTCCGTCTTTAAGGGATACTAGTCTGTGCTTTACAGATATTTGTTGACATGTGTTGGCACACTAGCAAGTCCTAACACGTAAGGCTTGCAACCTTAGTTAGGGCTGCCCGTCGAGGGCCCAGGGGCCGAAGGCCTATGAAACAATAATAGTAGAAGAGTAATCACCTAATTCACTTGAGTTTTTCGACACCCGTTCGATTATGAATTGTCATTAATAGTTGTCTTGTGGTTCGAGAGTGGTCTGTTGTGATCCGATATTAACATGTGATGACAGGATATGCTTTTGTAACTGAATGGATATTTGTCTGTCATAATGAGATACTAGTCAGAGCTTTACAGATATTTGTTGACATTTGTTGTCATTAATTGTTGTCTTGTGCAGGGATGTTTGTAGGTTTCAATCACCACCGTCAAACTTGTGTGTTTGGTGCTTGTTTGATGTATGATGAGATTACACCATCTTTTGAATGGTTGTTTGTTGCATTTAGTCGGTGCATGAAGAAGAAGCTCCCACTAACTATTTTTACTGATCAGGACGCTGCCATGGCAGCTGCCCTTAGAAAGGAGTGGCCTACTGTGTTTCATGCACTCTGTACTTGGCACATCCTCATGAATGCCAAGAAGCATCTTCGTAAAGATAAGGCATTTTGGAAGAAGTTCCAAACTCATCTTTCTTATATTTTCTGTGACGTCGACAGTGAGAGAGAGTTCGACATGGCGTGGAGCACAATGGTTGCTTATTGTTTCCCTAATAGTGAAATTGCGGACGGTCATCAATGGTTGGAATATTTGAAGAAATTTCGTCATCAATGGTGTTCCTTATGGTTGAGAGATCAATTCAAAGCCGGGATGTTGACTACGCAAGCCAGCGAGTCGTGCAATGCACAAGTACGATGTTTCTTGAAACCGAAGCATGATTTGGACATGTTTTTCATTCATTTTAGCAGGTACGTACGCAATATATATGTTTGCTATTCTGTGATATTAGCTTGTCCGTTATGGATGTGTTTCATTGTCATCTGGATATTAATATGCTCTTGTTAAATATTATTTTGTGTTGGTATGATATTAGTACTATTGTCAGTGGATATTAGTCTGGGCACTAATCTCTTTTCTCTTGCTTTCTAAATGTAGTTTGGTTGCTGAAAAAAGACGCAAGGAGAGTGATTCAGACTACAGTGGGAAACAATCGGTTTCCTATATAATGTTGGAGCACAGCCCTATCCTAAAACATGCGGCAAAGATCTTTACTTCTAACATCTTCAATCGGATACAACAGGAGTATTTGAAAACTGAAAAATATATAATGGAGACGCTCTCGGATACTAGGGATGATGGCATGATTGGCTACCGCACATATATGATAGAGGATGGTGAGCGTAGTGATGAGCGTGTCGTTCTCGTCGATATTTCTACGAGGACATTGGTATGCGAATGCAGAATGTTCAGAACATTCGGAGTGTTATGCCGCCACATGATTAAGGTGATGCGGCTTCTTGGAGATTTTGGGGAAGCCAGTATGAGAAGTGTTCCAGATCATTACATACTCAAGCGATGGACGTTGGAGGCGAGAAAGAAAGAGGTTGTTGATGTCGATGGTTGTGTTGGTCCTTCAGCTTCTAGTGAGAATGATGCGGGAAAAGGTATAGCAATGCGTTACCGAGAAACCACTGCAATGTTGAATCAGCTAGCAACTAACATGTCGATGGCCGATGAGAAGGACTACAATAAGTGGATGAGAGTACTCAAGAAATTGTGCAATGAGGCAAACAAGGCATTGTCAAAGACTATTACTAGCGAGGACAGTAAGTATATTCACTAATATCATTTGTAAATTGTTAGAGTTTAATATCATTGCATTTACTAAATTCTCTAACGTTGTAGGACGGAATGTACCGATAACTGGGCTGACTTTGAAGAAGAAGAGTAATCCAAGGAGCCAAGGTAAGGAACGTTATCAGTCTACCAATGAAAAGGAACGCCGTCGAAAGAAACGTGTCTATAAGAAGAGAATGAAATCAGTTGAAGTGGTCACGCCGGACAACAATACTCAACCGGATGACCATATTAGTGAATTGGATGATAATATTGATCAATGGTTATGAATAGAATGTAGGGAGGTTCGAAAGTGGTCTATTGTGATATGATATTAACAAGTGATTCCAGGATACGTTTTTGTGATGCAGTGGATATTAGTCCCTCTGTATAGGATACTTGTCTGGGCAAATTTGATATCCACTCTATTTTGTATAGATATTGGTCTGGGCTTCCTAGATATTTATGAATAGAATGTAGGGAGGTTCGAGAGTGTTCTATTGTTATATGATATTGACAAGTGATTCCAGGATACGTTTGTGTATTGGAGTGGATATTAATGCACTTGTAAAGGATACTTGTCTGTGCAAACTTGATATGCACTATAAATTGTACAGATATTAGTCTGGGCTTCCTGGATATCAGTATTTTCAACGCAGGTACAATTGTACCAATGATTACTTATTTCACTATTCACATGTGACCTTTTTTGTTACTGTACTCACGTGATCTTTTTTGTTACTGTACTCATGTGACCGTTTTTGCATTTGTCTATTTAAGACAACACATACACAAACCCAAATCTGCCATCCTCCTCTCTCAGTTTCTTCTTCACTTCTCTTCCAAAGCAAAATCCATGTATGGAGAGACTCCTAAACCAGCGCGCCGGGGATTGGTGGATGAGTTCGAATATGATGGTGTTGTACTATGTTACGATGGTTGGAGAGCTGCCAAACGACTTGCTGTTGATGGAGTCAACCCACCGAAGAGGTATTTCCGATGTCGGATGTACGAGTACGACAATGATAACGGGTGTGGTTTTCACATGGATTGGGACGAAGTAATGTTCGCCGGTTTTTCAGAGTCGGATGATGAAGATAACACCGAGGAGACCGTGAAGAAATGAATTAGTATTTCTTGTCATCACTTTGTATTCTGTTGAGTTTGTTTCTATTTCTGATTGAAAGTGTTATCCATCTTTATCGGGTATTAGTCTGGGTATTTCGGATATTTATCCGAGTCTTATGGATATTTGTCTGGGTCTTTAGGATATTCTTCTGGGTCTTTAGGATATCTGTATGTGTCTTTCGGATATTTGTATGCAATTTGCTGATATTTGTCTGTTCTTTAAGGATATTAGTCTGGGTTTCCTGGATATCAGTATTATAAAAAGCAGGTCCAATAGCATTGTCAAAGACGGATATTTACCTGGGAGGTTACAATATATGGTGCAATCAGAATTTATGTTGGTAATTATATCCAACAGCTACAAAATTATCCTCCATCCTAATACAAAAACCATCATCCATTCCTAATTATATCCAACATCTAGCAAAATATCCTCCATCCTATCCAGCACGCCTAAACAAATCTAAAATTCTTTTTCCCTTTCCCTTTCTCTTTCTGCATACTCCAATCTTTTGCTTCTTGAATTATTGCATCCTTGTGGCCGTTATAGTTCCATAACAGGAGGTTAGCTGCAATCCGTGTTCGTTGTTCCTCCACATGTTCCTGCTTGTGCCAACTGTTTTTACATTCCGACGGAAGGTGACCCGCCGATAGCTCCATGTAAAGGCAAGCAAATACACCGCAATCATCGTTGCCAAATTGCTGAGGAATGTCTGCAATGTTGAATTCCCACTCATCCAATTTACAATCGACCCCCCTGCTCTTTGAAGAACTCTGTCACATACTAAAAAATCACTTTCCCCACTAGTCCATGATCCTCCTTAGCCACTCAGGCATTGGGCTTTTGGCTGTCCAGTAGGAAAGTCTTCCTATTCTTCATGTCAGCGACATACACTCGGTAGTGATCATTTCGATACATTGGAAAGAAGATCTGAAACACAATACAGTTAGTGAGTTAATCATTGTCTAATATCCTAACAACTCAGATTAATATCTCAACAACCCAGAATAATACCCGATAAAGAAGAATAAAATATCCTATACACCCATACCAATATCAAGGGAAGTCAGAAAAATATCCAAACATTGAAGACACTTACATAATCACATCTTTCCAAGTTTTCTCGTTTCAGCAATGGATTATTCTTGTGCATAGAAATATATGTTGAGACTCTCGCCTTGTCCATGGGTTGCTTTTTTATAGCATCAACGACGACATGTTGCTATTTAGAAGAGACAACAATATCAAATTAGACATTTTCAACATAAATAGGATATAAGTAGTGAGGATAATACTTACTACATAGCTCCATGGGAAGACAATTCTCTTCACCATCTCCTTACGTTCTTCTTGGTCATTTAGGAAGTGCCCGTATACTACAATTACTTGGGTATGAACCCACCTTTTACGCTTCAATGACAATATTTGGCAACGGCTAAGCCTGCCCTTTGGAGTTTCCACGATATAGTCGTGACTGTAAAACACAAATGAAAAACCAGGTTAGTAGCCATGAATTTGACAGATTGAAATTGGCGATTAAAGAAGGAAACATGACAACTTACTCATCTTCAGCTGTGGTACTGAAGACGAACTCGACCACTTGCAGTGCCGTCACGTCAAGTTTTGTCGACAGAGTCTTAGGCAAAACGTACACTGATGAGTCGAAAGAGTGTGTTTTGACCTCTCGAATGCATGAGTTTTTAGATTGGCTTTCCATGATTCTGGTGTGATGGAGTGCATCAACTCTGCCTCCTCCTGAGTCATAGCCCTCTCACTTATGATCATATCATCGTCGCTATGTTCCATCATCCTCTGGCATGCTGCTGCTATAAGCTCCCCCTCTGATAGTAATGCTTCTCCTTGCGTTAGAACCTCAGTAGCAGCAGTTGCCTCGACTGGTATCTGCAACTGATTGCCAAAGGTTAGTATCTACTAAAAAAGAAACAAATATCCTAGAATCCCAGGATAGTATCCATAACAAAGAAAAAAAATATCCTGGAAGCCCATGCTAGTATCCAAAACAAAGAATCAAATATCCAGAAAGCCCAGACTTGTATCTACTCAAAATGAAAAAATATCCCGGAAGTCCAGGCTAGTATCCATAAAAAATAATCAAATATTACCGTTGTCGGAGATGTCCTCATATTCTCTTCAGCAGCAGTGGCCTGAAAACCAATATGCATCACATCAGCGAATGTGATAGACGGGTCGGTATAATGCATGACAACTACCTCTGACTCCACCACTTCAGACACGTCATCAACTGTTGATGTAACTGCTGGCAACTCCAACTCCTGAACATTCTTCTTACTTCTTTTCCTGGAGTATACACGACCAAACATGCTATTTTCTCTCATAGGACCTTGACTAACCTCGTCCTCCATGACAACTCCCCGATCTTCCTCCTCTATGACAACTACCTCATCATCATCATCATCATCCTCCATGACAACTTCCTCCTCTTCCTACTCCATGACGTCTACCTCCTCTTCCTCAACTTCCTCCTCTTCCTCCTCCATGACATCTACCTCCTCTTCCTCCTCCATTACAACTACCGGATCTTCCATTTTAGCTTTTGCTGCTGCTACCAAAGACGAAGAAAATACTAAGAATCTGCCCCGATTCCTGTCAAGCTCAGCACCTACAAAGTCGAGCTGGAAAACAGTGCAGGGATATAAAGGTTAATATCCGGACTGCCCAGGTACGTATCTAACAATGAATCAACGAATATCCACGAGAACACATTAATATCCGCTTTGTGAAATAGTTAATATCCATTTGTTTTGTACTGGTATCCAGAATGCAAAATATCCATAATGAAAAATATCCAGAATGCAAAATATCCATAATGAAAAATATCCATAATGCAAAATATCCATAATGGAAAAATATCCAAAACAAATACAAACCAATATCCTACTATCAACAGAAAACAACGATTATTCGATACAACGATTGTTCAAAGTCATTCCAACATGGAAATTATATAATTCAATAAAGCTCCATTACAACCACTTAATGATGTTGAAACATGCAAAGTTCAATTCTTGTCTTGCTGGCGCTTAATGGCAACCCTTCGGACACTTTCCCCCCATGAATCCCACTTATGCATCACTTTTTCAGTCAAGGACTCCAATACCTTAATCTACACATACATCCCAAAAAATTTAGTTTACTACATGCACTCGTGTCTACTAACCCCACGATTTCCAGTTTAAAAGACAATAATCTACATACCTTGTCGGTATCAAGGGACTCCAAGTCTGTTTCCTCCCACCATTCTGTCGTGTATAACCGCAGAGAAGCTGTATGAAGAGCTGAGCTACTTGTTCCTGATTCCCACTCCCTCCTGCCACGTCCTGGACAGAAGCGAGATCGAACTTCTTCTCTCGACAGCAACACGGGAGCCACATCATATAGCCCCGGTTAGAGATAGATAAGCATACGTTATCCACCCTTGGTTCAAACCAATAGCTGCAACTGGGGATTGTATTTGTGGCGAATCCTCTCACCTTAAGGAAATCCAACAAATGAAGCTACAAAAAAAAGTGTCTGTTAGAAAAGATATATAAATAAAAAACAATCAATATCCAGACAGCACAGATTAGTACCCATTCATGCTAAAAAGATATCTTGTATCAAAATAACTTACCATCAAGAAGTGGATATCCCCATTAACCCACTGCAATTTTTGTCCCTTGGCCCTAGCTTTAACTTCTCTTTTTTTGGTAACAGTCAGCTCTAGCTTCAACTGTTGGGCGACGTGACCACTCCAATTAATAGTTCGAATGTCCTCAACCCTCCCCGCCAAGTACTCTGCATAGTCGAACTTACAGATCCGGGAGCTTGTTGGAACGAGCAACGAACCAAGAGCCACAAGTAGGAACTGCTTCACTGCAACTGCAACAGGTGGTCTCCTCCTCTCTTTACCTCGACCTTTAGTCAACTTAGTCAGCTTAACCATCTCCACAACTTTAACATTTCGTTCCCGATTACCCTCCATGCCGAGCTCCTCTTTCAGAACCTTGAGCATCGAGTTATTTGCCTTCACAAGATCAATCTCAGCACTGCCAAGAGGAATGCCGTATACACGGGCAGCATCCTCATCTTCAATGGTGAGCACCTATTGCAGGTTAGATGAACAAAGAGCAATGAGCCAGAAGGTCAAGCATACAACAAAAAAATCCAATAAGCATACAACAAATGGTGAGCACCTTTTTATTTTCGCCCTCACCAAAAATGAAGCTGCTGGTGTGCATGTCATAATGTGCCATCAAGGTAGGCAACATCCTCTTAGGAACATCGACCAGCCGAAGCTCAAATAGGCTTCCAAATCCAGCATTCTCGATCTCTCTCTTGCAAGCTTCATAGTATCGTGGATCTTGCTTCCGGTCTTTTATAATTGACAGCACCTTCTTGGTGCTCCAGCGAAATCTATATTGGCGCCCTCCTACTTCTTCAGCAACATGTTGACCATTTTCTTCGTCCTCACCATCTTCGTCCCCACAAATTCAAAAAAACCAAATTTTGAAAAAACCCTACCCATACTTGCTGAAAAAACCCGTACGAAGATGGTGAGGACGAAGAAAATGGTCAACATGTTGCTGAAGAAGTAGGAGGGCGCCAATATAGATTTCGCTGTAGCACCAAGAAGGTGCTGTCAATTATAAAAGATTGGAAGCAAGATCCACGATACTATGAAGCTTGCAAGAGAGAGATCGAGAATGCTGGATTTGGAAGCCTATTTGAGCTTCAGCTGGTCGATGTTCCTAAGAAGATGCTGCCTACCTTGATGGCACATTACGACATGCACACCAGCAGCTTCATTTTTGGTGAAGGCGAAAATAAAAAAGGTGCTCACCATTTGTTGTATGCTTATTGGATTTTTTTGTTGTATGCTTGACCTTCTGGCTCATTGCTCTTTGTTCATCTAACCTGCAACAGGTGCTCACCATTGAAGATGAGGATGCTGCCCGTGTATACGGCATTCCTCTTGGCGGTGCTGAGATTGATCTTGTGAAGGCAAATAACTCGATGCTCAAGGTTCTGAAAGAGGAGCTCGGCATGGAGGGTAATCGGGAACGAAATGTTAAAGTTGTGGAGATGGTTAAGCTGACTAAGTCGACTAAAGGTCGAGGTAAAGAGAGGAGGAGACCACCTGTTGCAGTTGCAGTGAAACAGTTCCTACTTGTGGCTCTTGGTTTGTTGCTCGTTCCAACAAGCTCCCGGATCTGTAAGTTCGACTATGCAGAGTACTTGGCGGGGAGGGTTGAGGACATTCTAACTTTTAATTGGAGTGATCACGTCGCCCGACAGCTGAAGCTAGAGCTGACTGTTACCAAAAAAAGAGAAGCTAAAGCTAGGGCCAAGGGACAAAAATTGCAGTGGGTTAATGGGGATATCCACTTCTTGATGGTAAGTTATTTTGATACAAGATATCTTTTTAGCATGAATGGGTACTAATATGTGCTGTCTGGATATTGATTGTTTTTTATTTGGATATCTTTTCTAACATACACTTTTTTTTGTAGCTTCATTTGTTGGATTCCCAGTTGCAGCTATTGGTTTGAACCAAGGGTGGATAAAGTATGCTTATCTATCCCTAAGCCGGGGTTATATGATGTGGCTCCCGTGTTGCTGTCGAGAGAAGAAGTTCGATCTCGCTTCTGTCTAGGACGTGGCAGGAGGGAGTGGGAATCAGGAACAAGTAGCTCAGCTCTGGAATCGGGGCAGATTCTTAGTATTTTCTTCGTCTTTGGTTGCAGCAGCAAAATCTAAAATGGAAGATCCGGTAGTTGTAATGGAGGAGGAAGTGGAGGAAGTTGTCATGGAGGATGATGATGATGAGGTAGTTGTCATAGAGGAGGAAGATCAGGGAGTTGTCATGGAGGACGAGGTTAGTCAAGGTCCTGTGAGAGAAAACAGCATGTTTGGTCGTGTATACTCCAGGAAAAGAAGTAAGAAGAATGTTTAGGAGTTGGAGTTGCCAGCAGTTACATCAACAGTTGATGACATGGTTGAAGTGGTGGAGTCAGAGGTAGTTGTCATGCATTATACCGACCCGTCTATCACATTCGCTGATGTGATGCATATTGGTTTTCAGGCCACTGCTGCTGCTGAAGAGAATATGAGGACATCTCCGACAACTGTAATATTTGATTATTTTTTATGGATACTAGCCTGGACTTCTAGGATATTTTTTTCATTTTGAGTAGATACAAGTCTGGGCTTTCTGGATATTTGATTCTTTGTTTTGGATACTAGCTTGGGCTTCCAGGATATTTTTTTCTTTGTTATGGATACTATCCTGGGATTCTAGGATATTTGTTTCTTTTTTAGTAGATACTAACCTTTGGCAATCAGTTGCAGATACCTGTCGAGGCAACTGTTGCTACTAAGGTTCTAACGCAAGGAGAAGCATTACCATCAGAGGGGGAGCTTATAGCAGCAGCATGCCAGAGGATGATGGAGCATAGCGACGATGATATGATCGTAAGTGAGAGGGCTATGACTCAGGAGGAGGCAGAGTTGATGCACTCCATCACACCAGAATCGTGGAAATCCACTCTAAAAACTCCTGCATTCGAGAGGTCAAAACACCACCCTTTCGACTCATCAGTGTACGTTTTGCCTAAGACTCTGTCGACAAAACTTGACGTGACGACACTACAAGTGGTTGAGTTCGTCTTCAGTACCACAGCTGAAGATGAGTAAGTTGTCATGTTTCCTTCTTTAATCGCCAATTTCAATCTGTCAAATTCATGGCTACTAACCTGGTTTTTCATTTGTGTTTTACAGTCACGACTATATCGTGGAAACTCCAAAGGGCAGGCTTAGCCGTTGCCAAATATTGTCATTGAAGCGTAAAAGGTGGGTTCATACCCAAGTAATTGTAGTATACGGGCACTTCCTAAATGACCAAGAAGAACGTAAGGAGATGGTGAAGAGAATTGTCTTCTCATGGAGCTATGTAGTAAGTATTATCTTCACTACTTATATCCTATTTATGTTGAAAATGTCTAAATAGCAACATGTCGTCGCTGATGCTATAAAAAAGCAACCCATGGACAAGGCGAGAGTCTCAACATATATTTCTATGCACAAGAATAATCCATTGCTGAAACGAGAAAACTTGGAAAGATGTGATTATGTAAGTGTCTTCAATGTTTGGATATTTTTCTTTCCTTGATATTGGTCTGGGTGTATAGGATATTTTATTCTTCTTTATCGGGTATTATTCTGGGTTGTTGAGATATTAATCTGGGTTGTTAGGATATTAGACAATGATTAACTCACTAACTGTATTGTGTTTCAGATCTTCTTTCCAATGTATCGAAATGATCACTACCGAGTGTATGTCGTTGACATGAAGAATAGGAAGACTTTCCTACTGGACAGCCAAAAGCCCAATGCCCGAGTGGCTAAGGAGGATCATGGACCAGTGAGGAAAGTGATTTTTGAGTATGTGACAGAGTTCTTCAAAGAGCAGGGGGTCGATTGTAAATTGGATGAGCGGGAATTCAGCATTGCAGACGTTCCTCAGCAATTTGGCAACGATGATTGCGGTGTATTTGCTTGCCTTTACATGGAGCTATGGGCGGGTCACCTTCCGGTGGAATGTAAAAACAGTTGGCACAAGCTCCATGTGGAGGAACAACGAACACGGATTGCAGTTAACCTCCTGTTATGGAACTATAACGGCCACAAGGATGCAATAATTCAAGAAAGCAAAAGATTGGAGTATGCAGAAAGAGAAAGGGAAAGGGAAAAAGAAGAGAAATTGATTTTAGATTTGTTTAGGCGTGCTGGATAGGATGGAGGATATTTTGCTAGATGTTGGATATAATTAGGAATGGATGATGGTTTGTATTAGGATGGAGGATAATTTTGTAGCTGTTGGATATAATTACCAACATAAATTCTGATTGCACCATATATTGTAACCTCCAGGTAAATATCCGTCTTTGACAATGCTATTGGACTTGCTTTTTATAATATTGATATCCAAGAAACCCAGACTAATATCCTTAAAGAACAGACAAATATCAGCAAATTGCATACAAATATCCGAAAGACACATACAGATATCCTAAAGACCTAGATGAATATCCTAAAGACCCAGACAAATATTCATAAGACTCGGATAAATATCCGAAATACCCAGACTAACAGGATAGCTAAATTGATTAGCAGCAGGCACAAAGACTCACAGGATGCGGCCCAGCTTATCATCGACTGTAATGGATTCCTCCGACAATACACTGAGCTGCTCCAATGAATATGGGGGTGCTCTGGATCTCTTATATCCCTCACGAAATTTGCCCAACTTTAGTCAAGGATTGCCATTTTCAGTTCCCCAATCAGTCATAAGAAAGAAGAAAAAGAGAGAAAATTGCACGGTTCATTCAATCAAAGGAAAACCCACAAGAAAAAAACGGAAAGGAAAGAAAGGATATCATAGATATCGAGTGGATCGACGGCGTCGCAGCAGTGGGAATCTTCGCATCGGGCGACCCTTTCCTTTTTAGCGTGGACGATTGGGTTCGCATTGATCAGACCCAGAGTCATTTATCTCTTTCTCTCCTTCAACTCCTCTTCGCCGTCTTCCTTGCGGTCTCTCTCGTTCTCCGGTGATCTCTTCGCTTCCCTTTACTTCCCAACCATTTCTACTTCTTTACTCAACTTCTCAAGTTGACGGACACATTCTCCGCCGCAGTCGGGTTTTCTGATTCCGGGGCCCATTCGACGGCCGACACGTGTTCTACAGTTCATCTGTCCGGTTTGAGAATCAAGTTGACTGGTCAATTCGCCATCGTCTGGCGACTCTGGCCACATAAGCCTCTTGGATGGGTCCCATTTGTTTGAGACGAACACGTTGTCGTTTTCCTGCGTCCGGCAAATGGATCTTCGGGCGGATTTGAGCTGGCCGGGTTGGCCCATTTACCGACGAGCGTCTAGCTTCGGTCTACAATGAAATTGTGATCGGAGAAGGGAAGATCAGGCGGAGACGAAAGAGCGGGAGGGAAATATGGTGCACAGTGCCTATGATTCCTTTGAGCTCCTCCGAGGCTGTCCGACGAAAATCGATGCCGTCGCGTCCTACGCTTCGAAGCTCTTCCTCGGCTGCACCGATGGCGCGCTACGAGTCTACGCCGCCGAATCCGATCGATCTTCTTCGTCGTCGGATTACCTCGGCCAAGCGCAAGAACTTCGGAAGGAAGGATACGCCCTGGAGAGGACAGTGAACGGATTTTCCAAGAAGACTCTGCTGTCAATGGAGGTACTGGCATCGCGGCAGCTGCTCCTCTCGCTCTCTGAGTCGATCGCTTTCCACCGGCTCCCAAATTTGGAGACTTTCGCTGTGATCACCAAGGCCAAAGGCGCCAATGTTTACTCCTGGGATGATCGCAGAGGCTATCTCTGCTTCGCGAGGCAGAAGCGAGTCTGTATCATCCGCCACGATGGTGAGTTCTCTCGTTTTCTATTCCAGAGCTGCTGCTGAAATTCTGATGCTTCATTTCTTCTTCTTGAACTGAAATTTGGAAGTTGTTCTTCAGCAGGACGAGGATTCGTGGAGGTGAAAGAATTTGGAGTGCCTGACACGGTGAAGTCGATGGCCTGGTGTGGCGAGAACATATGTATTGGAATTAAGAAGGAATACGCGATACTGAACGCCACTAGTGGTGCATTGAGCGAGGTGTTTCCTTCTGGTAGACTGGCTCCGCCTATGGTCGTCTCTCTTCCTTCGGGAGAACTTCTTCTTGGCAAGGTGCCCTCCAACTGTTCGATGAATTGCTTCCTTTCCGTTATCGTTTGCAGTTATCACCTGTGATTGACAGTTAAAAGTTATCACTTACGATACAGGAGAATATTGGAGTATTTGTGGACCAAAATGGCAAGCTTCATCAAGCTGAAAGGATTTGTTGGTCGGAAGCTCCCTCTGTTGTTGTGATTCAGAAACCGTATGCTATTGCCCTGCTCCCAAGACGTGTTGAGGTAGTTGCCTAGACCATCATGCACTATGCCGGAGAAGTTCCTGTCCTCTTTATTTCTGTCCAGAGATGGTCTTCCTGACGATGTTCTATAAAATGAATGCAGATAAGGTCTCTTCGAGTCCCATACCCAATGATTCAGACCATTGTTCTTCAGAATGTTCGTCGTCTTGTTCAGAGCAATAATGCAGTAATTGTTGCGCTAGATAATTCTGTTCATGGACTCTTCCCTGTTCCTGTTGGTGCACAGGTATATATTGTACCCCTTTGGTTTTTGTATAGAATATTGTTGACTGGTAGTTTCTAGGTTAATTGTTGTGATGACTGGTAGGTGAGTAAAAAAAAATACAGTCTAGAGGGAAGAAAGATTCTTGAATTCTGGAATCAATTTGATGCTCCTGGATCATCTTCGACATATTTCGATTATGTATTTGCTTTTAGAGCTCATACAAACTTGATTTGATACTTTGACATTGCACTTCAGTAAATTTTACTATGACTATGGTGCAGATCGTGCAATTAACAGCATCTGGAAATTTTGAAGAAGCTTTGGCATTGTGCAAGTTACTTCCTCCAGAAGATGCAAGCCTTCGAGCTGCAAAGGAAGCATCCATTCATATAAGGTAGATGTTTACCAAAATTGACTGATGAACTATTTGCATCACTTAGTTCTCACTTCTATGAATTGATATGTTTCTTCGCTATCATATCATAAGGCTTGGTCTAGCAAGTGGATTTTCATTTTATACGTATGATTTTCTGTGTGGCATGTAATATTAGCCAAACTCTAGTAATTTTTCCTTCGAAGTCCTATTATGATTTTTCTTCAAACAAGTTGCTGATAGGGGTTTCACTTTCCACAGATATGCCCACCATCTTTTTGATAATGGGAGTTATGAGGATGCTATGGAGCACTTTTTAGCTTCCCAAGTAGATATCACCTATGTACTTTCTATGTATCCGTCAATAGTTCTTCCCAAAACAACTTTGGTTCCTGAAATGGACAAGGTAGTGGACAGTTATCCAGATGTTATGCATCTGTCAAGAGGTTCTTCTGGTGCATCAGATGATATGGATCCCTCATCTGCTTCACATTTTGGCGATTTTGATGAGCATTCCGCACTTGAGTCCAAGAAGATGAGCCATAATACTCTCATGGCTCTAATCAAATACTTACAGAAACGCAGATACAGTGTAATTGAAAAGGCTACTGCCGAGGGGACAGAGGAGGTTGTTTTAGGTGCAGTTGGTGATAATTACGGACATTACGACTCCAGTAGGGTCAAAAAGTCTGGCAAGGTAGAAACTGATCCTTTTGAGTTTTGAATGAGGAGTCAACTCACATATATTACAGCTACAATGCCTTTAAATTGTATATATATTCTTGAAGGACAATAACAGTGACTCTAGGAAGTTCACTTTTGAAAAGAAAAGTAACTATATTTGATGCTTCTGTTCCACTTGATTTCTCGTACGATCTGACACTGTTTATGATTAGGGGCGTGGTAATGTCGCCATTAATTCAGGAGCTAGAGAAATTGCTGCTATCCTGGATACTGCACTACTCCAAGCACTTCTGCTTACTGGACAGTCTTCAGCTGCTGTAGAATTGCTCAGAGGCCATAATTATTGTGATCTGAAAATATGTGAGGAGAGTCTTCAAAAGAGACATCACCATTCTGCTTTGCTGGAGCTTTATCGAAGTAATGCCATGCACCGTGAAGCTCTGAAGCTTCTGCATCAATTAGTCCAAGAGTCAAGCTCAGGCCAATCTGAGGGTATGCATAAGTTCAAGCCTGAGGACATTCTAGAATATCTCAAGGTATCTTTAATTTCTACTCTGTGGGAGTCTTTTTCGTGGTGTTAGTACTCTTCTTTGGTTGCAGCTAGTACTCTTCTTTTGCTAAAAGTATCTGAGGGAGTCTTTTTCATGGTGATTCTTATGCAGCCTCTCTGTGGAACAGATCCTATGCTTGTTCTAGAGTTCTCAATGATCATTCTCGAAAGGTGTCCAACACAAACAATTGAGCTGTTTTTATCTGGGAATATACCTGCAGATTTGGTCAACTCTTATCTGAAGCAGCATGCTCCAAACATGCAAGGAAGGTATCTAGAACTGATGCTCGCAATGAATGAAAGTGCCATATCAGGAAACCTTCAAAATGAAATGGTAACTTGCCCTTGCTTTTGGTATGTAGATATAATTTTTTCTATGTGTGCTCTTACTGGACGTGTCCAAATAAAATGTAACCTTGGGTTGAATTTTGAATCATATCACTCAATGCCACTCTATCATTTATCACAGGTGCAAATCTATCTCTCTGAAGTTCTTGATTTGCATGCGGAATTAACTTCCCAAAAGAAATGGGACGAGAAGGCTCATTCCCCGACTAGGAAAAAGTTATTATCTGCTCTAGAAGGCATATCAGGATATAACCCTGAGGCTTTATTGAAGCGTCTTCCTCCTGATGCATTGTATGAAGAACGTGCAGTTTTATTAGGAAAGATGAACCAGCATGAACTTGCCTTATCCCTCTATGTACATAAGGTAATGATGGTATTTACATGAATGGCTGATTATCTTACACACGAAAGCTATAGATAAGCCTTTGCCCTTGATGTAATCATTTCTCTCGCTGAGTATATTGATCAATACTGAAGTCAATAACCATCTAAACTTGTTCATCCATTTCTCTGATCTGCAGTCCATGAGCCAACTAAAGTTACTTTTTTCCCCTGTATCAGCTTCATCTACCTGATCTGGCATTGTCCTACTGTGATCGCATTTATGAGTCTGCAACTCCACAACCTTCTACTACAAATTCTGGCAGTATATACCTCACGCTTCTACAAATCTATCTAAATCCCAGTAAGACAACCAAGAACTTTGAGAAGCGAATCACAAATATAGTAGCTTCTCGGAGCACCAGCATCCCTAAGGCCAGTTCTGTGAGTGGAACCAAGACTAAAGGTGGCCGTGGAGCGAAGAAAATTGCTGCAATAGAAATTGCAGATGACTTGCGTATGAGTCCAAGTGGCACTGATAGCAGCAAGAGCGATGGCGATACAGACGAAATTAATCAGGAAGGCAGTTCTACCATAATGCTTGATGAGGTGCTTGATCTCTTGAGCAAAAGGTGGGACCGAATAAATGGTGCCCAAGCACTCAGACTTTTACCCAGGCAAACTAACTTACAGGTAACAATTTTACCAGAAAGGAGCTATGTTCTTGGATGCCTAAAGCTTAGAGCTGCCCTCTACTTCATGCGAGGCCTGAGAAATGTAGATTAACTCAATTTTGTTTTGTTCTATGCAGAACTTGCTGCCGTTTCTTGGACCTCTACTGAGGAAATCAAGTGAAGCGAACCGGAACCTTTCAGTAATCAAGAGTTTGAGACAGAGTGAGAACCTGCAGGTATCAATGACATGAAATCCTACATATAATTGTCTTGATGCCATATGTATAGTCCGAAATGACCACTTGAGAATGTTGAATATATCAAGCCCGTTAACATATTAAGACCACCACTGACTATGGCCTATTATGTGGTGAACCAGGTGAAAGACGAGCTGTACAAGTATAGAAAAGCAGTCGTGAAGATCAGCAGCGACAGCATGTGCTCCCTTTGCAACAAGAAGATCGGAACAAGTGTGTTTGCTGTCTATCCCAACGGGAAAACACTCGTCCATTTCGTTTGTTTCCGGGACTCCCAAAGTATGAAGGCCGTCACTAAAGGTACAACACCACCTCCTAGAAAGTGGTGACATATTTTTCTTTCAAACAGGATGTTTCACGACATCAGCAGAAAACCGCTGATACATCATCAGCTTTGAGATGGTGAATACCGGAGAGTGCATTGACCTTCACATGAAACTGCTTTTCGGTAGCAGCCATCGAAGTCTCCGGCAGCTGGCCATGGCCTGTGAGAGAACGATACTGAATTGGCACCCTTCGAGATGTTTGTTCTTCAAGGGCTTGTTGGTTATCAATTTCTAAGTTTGATGGCTTGCTCGGTGTGGGGGAAGTTTTCTTGCCTGTGTTGTATGCTTTGCTGAGTTTGTTCCTTCATCGAGATTTCCGTTCTTCTGAGTGAAGTCCCCATTGACAAAACGAATGGCATAGTGTTGTTGATAGATCGATATACGTTTTGTTTGTACTTACGTGCTTGTGCAAATGCAAATTTCTGTGAGCGGCATCCAAAATATGGTACCATTTCAGGACTGATATTTTGTTACCAAACAACGCAATAGAAGCACAATGAAATGTTTATATTATAACCATCTATCCACCATACGCCTGCCCTTGCAGTTGCAGGAGCTAGTTTCTCGTTTGACGTTTCTCTGCCCTCTGGCCGTAAAACGGTAGACAGCGACTCAGATTCTGCACCCCGCATTGGGACTGTCCACATAAATCGCCTCCACATCAAACGACTTCCTGACCCAGTGGCCCTCTTGAAGAGCGTCGTGTCTTTCTTCCACCTCCTCAATTGCGCCATCACAAACACCGTTTTTCTATCCCCTCCCAGCAGCAACAAACGCAGCGTTTTGACCTAGATTTGTTTAAGGTTTAACTTTTAAGGACATGAATCCACTCCCTACCAATGAAAGAATCATAAGCAAGCTGCAAAGTGCAAAGTGTTGATCGGCTGTCTAAAAAATGGTTTATACACAACTTTCTCATTAACCACTTTATCAATCGCTCTCTCCTGCCATGTCCATCGGGAGATTTCGATTCCATGGGATTATAGTGATGAAAAACGGTGCAGTGTGAATCAGATCAGATTATATATACAGTTTTTGGTCAAGACCGATATTTTAGAATATAAATTATGGGCTAGACCACATATTATTATACGATCCAGACCAAATCAAGGCTATATGGTGCGCTTCGGTAAGATATGATATGGATTAAGTAGACCATTCTTCATAAAACTTCACACTTTTCCAACCCTTCGATCCTCTTTGGTATCCACAAAAATAAAAAGTTCAGTGCTCAATATACTAGTGAAACAAAATTTAGTGACCTTAACTAACCCGCGAAAAAATATGCGGAGAGAATTGTACATTTTCGATTTCTTACTCCTATCCGGTCTCCACTTAAAATAAAACTCAACAAATTACTATGTCTCCCTCTTTCATGATGGTCTTAAAGGTTCTCGCACTTAATCTCCATCACGAACAGTGGCGGACCCAGGATTGTCGGAGAGGTGTGTCGCTGATAAAATAAAATAAAAATAAAATTAAATACAAAATTAAATAGAAATTAAAAAAAAATCATAAAGTTCTGTCATGTTTACAACGAATCGCGATGACTTTTCATCTGCTGAAATGTCTCTAAAATACATTAATCACTTATACTGCAAAGAAAATCTTTTTCAATATACACAACTAAACAATCATTCATATATTGGTCACTCAACTGATTTCGAAGATCATTCTTGATTATCTTCATAGCTAAAAATGTTCTTTCGCAGCTGGGGAGTTAGTGGCCGCCTGGGCTAATGGCCATTAGGCCTGTGGATTTTTTTCTCTCTTTTAATTATAGGCCGAGGCCCAACACACATCACACATGCATATTGTATGGGCTGAGAGTTTGTTTGTTTTTAATATGAATTGATAGGATTATGATTTATGAGTTATTATAAACAAAATGGGTTAAAGACACATTTGGTCACTGAGATTACAAAATCGGGACATCTTTAGTCACTAGAAAAAATTAATATCAAATTTGGTCACTATAATTACTAAAACTGGACACATTTAGTCACTCACCGTTAGTCTCCGTCCAACTCCGTTAATGAAGTCCGTTAAGTGATGATGTGGCAAACAAAATTGCCTAATCAGCCGGATATAACCCAACAAAAACAAAACCCGACCCGCCACATCATTTAAACCAACCCAACCCAACCCATGACCCAACTCCACCCAACCCTTCTTCCTCCTTCCTCTCACCTCCTTCTTTCCCCAAAACCGCCGCCGCCCTCCTCCTTCCTCCCCACCACCTTCCAACCCACCCAGAAAACCAAAAAAAACCCTTTCCCACTTCTCACCTTCTCCAACATCGAAACCAATGTAGAGCTGCTGCAGCGAGGTTAAGTTCCCCAGCTCCGGAGGAATAGTCCCGACCACCCACCATTGGTGAGCTCCATCAAGTTCTAAAGCTCGATTTCGCCTCGAATTCGCTCTCCAGTCCAATCCCACCCGAAATCGGCAACTGCAGCCACCTTGCCTACCTGGACATGAGCTAGAACAATCTCACCGGACCAATTCCACCAGAGATTTCCAACATCCACATTCTCAACTACCTAAACCTATCAAGAAACCACCTCAACCAAACCATCCCCAAATCCATCGGTTCAATTAATAGCCTCACCATCGCCGACTTCTCCTTCAACAACCTCTCCGGGAAGCTCCCCGATTCCGGCCAATTCTCCGTCTTCAATTCCTCCTCCTTCGCCGGGAACCCTCAGCTCTGCAGCTCCATCCTCAACAACCCCTGCAATTCCACAACAAACCCAAACTGCAAACGGGCGAAATCCCCTGACAATTTCAAGCTCGTCTTCGCCCTAGGCCTCCTGATCTGCTCCCTCATCTTTGCCACCGCCGCGATCGTGAAAAGCGCGGTCGTTCAAGCGGTACGGAGAGTCGGATTGGAAAATGACGTCGTTTCAGAAGGGTTTCGATGTTGGAGAAGGTGAGAAGTGGGAAAGGGGTTTTTTTGGTTTTCTGGGTGGGTTGGAAGGTGGTGGGAGGAAGGAGGAGAGCGGCGGTGGTTTTGGGGAAAGAAGGAGGTGAGAGGAAGGAGGAAGAAGGGTTGGGTTGGTTTAAATGACGTGGCGGGTTATAATGACGTGGCGGGTCGGGTTTTATTTTTTTTGGGTTATATCCGGCTGATTAGGCAATTCTGTTTGTCACATCATCACTTAACGGACTTTATTAACGGAGTTGGACGGAGACTAACGGCGAGTGACTAAATGTGTCCAGTTTTAGTAATTGTAGTGACCAAATTTGATATTAATTTTTTCTAGTGACTAAACATGTCCCGATTTTGTAATCTCAGTGACCAAATGTGTCTCTAACCCTAAACAAAATTAAAAAGGATTATGATTAAGATTGATTTATCCGGATAATAAATTCTTCGAGTATAATGAAGGTGTGTTGGCTATAATTATTGAAGGTGTGTCGGCTATCTCGAAATAAAAAAATTTGTACCAAAAATATGTAGGTCCTTCACAAAATTCCCTTGCCTTAGGTCCGCCACTGATCACGAAGAAGACGAGATTGTTTTGAACCACTAGGTTGGCCGCTTCGCTCGACAGATTTTCTCTTATCTCACCGGGGTAAATATGTTATGCATTTCTATATAATTGACTTCAGATTCTAAACATGGCTAGTTGAGATGATTTTCCCATCTTTTCTTCTTTTTGTGTGGTTCTTTCATTAGAAGAACACAAAAAATATCACTTGAGCAGTCTGTCGATTTTCAGCTTGATGAAGAATTAATAGATTTAATATACAGAAATCTACAATCGGATTGTTTGTTCCCCATGGTCAGATTGATCAACCTCGATTTGTTCTTCCAAATGCATAAATGGAGATTTAGTGTTTTGATTTGAATTAGTGGGTAGTAGTAGGTCACGGTCCACCACGGTTAATTGTAATTTACCGCAATCCAGAGTCCAGACCGTATCAAACCACGCACTAAATGAAAGATTACAGACCAAATCATAATTTTAGGGGTCGTTTGGAAGTTGCGTATGTTAAATCTTTGTATTGTTATGAATCACTATGATATAAATGCATGCATTGATACAATAGATGTATTTTGAAATTACATTGTTTGGTTGTTGGGATTATAATTTATGAATTGATTGTTATAAAGTTACTTTATAAGGAAATGTCATATTTGTCCTCCACTTTTAATATAAAACAAAAAGAACTATGGACATAATTGGAAAAAGTAAAGGTGCTCAATTATTAAACCAACAATCACAACAATCTCAACTTTTAGTTGAGATTGTACAATCCCTCATTTTTGTTGATTGTTGGTGGGACCTACACAAAACAATACATGCATTGTTTTGCAACTTGACACTTCCAAACGTTGTATTGTGGACAATACATGTATTTAACAAATACAACACTAACAATCGCAACTTCCAAACGACCCCTTAGTCTTACTATTCGGATCAAACCGTACACATAGTTTCGCGTACATTTTGGTCTAAATTCCCCGCCCTAAGCTACTAGTTTAGCGCGGAGTTGAGGTGAAGTATTAAATTGGTCACAAAAATTATATACATATCCAAGTAACCACGTCAACTTATTCTTAATGTTTCCACTCTAATAAATATTTTTTATGTACAACTTATGGAAACATATACAGCTTTTGTGACTCTAGTTGTAATCTACCTTGAAACTATCGTTTCAGCGAAACATTTGACATCTGAGCTATAGGGCCTTCGAAGTTCGAACCACTCCCTACTCCGCTGCTGTTTCCTTCGAAGCGAGAGTCGATTGCGGACGAGAGCAGCGAAAGTTGATCGGCGAAGATGATCAAAGCAGTGATGGTGATGAACACTCAAGGCAAGCCTCGGCTCACGAAATTTTATGAATTTCTGGTAAGGAAGAGACAAACTCAATTTTCTCATTTTTTTTTCTTCTTTTCCTTCCATGTTTGATGGGAAGAAACAGTATCAGCTAGTTGAGTAAGCTTCCTTTCTGATGATCTCGCTTTATCGATGGAATTTCTGCGAGGGCAAAGCCTGTGGAGAAGCAGCAGGGGATTATACGGACAGTGTTTGGAGGTAATTGGTCGAACCTTCGAACGACGGCTCGACATTTTTTTTTTGGCCAAAACTGCTCTAAAGATCTCGTCGTTGAGAGTTGTGGGTTTTCGATCTCTGAGTTAGGATTTCTGGTGCGTAGTTTTGTGCAGTAGGGCGGAGAACGTCAGCAATTTCATGGAAGCGGATTCAATTTTCGGTCCTGTAAGTTCTGATGCTTCCTGCTTTTGAACATCTAAGAATTCCATTGCGAAAGTCGTGATCTTTAGTATCGTGTTCAAGGGTTTTGATCTGTATGACAGGATAGTCGTCTTGTCTACAAGCACTATGCTACTCTCTACTTTGTCTTTGTGTTCGATAGTTCAGAGAACGAGCTTGCAATGCTTGATCTCATCCAAGGTACAGTGATCACTTTCTTCAGGAACCATACAGCGTTTTATTGTTTTTTGCTTGTTATTACTAGCTAGAGCCTCTGAAGGTAAAAGAAGAGTGAATCTAATTTGTTTACTTGTGATATTGGAGTGGCTAAAAGAACCTCTGATGACATTTTACTGAACATCCTTGGGGATCATGAACTATAGAAGATTTCCACTACATTGTGAATGAAATTTGGTATAATTAATCTTGCAGAAGCCTTTGGTTCAACTTAAACTTGGGTAGATTAAACTAGAGTGGTGGTAAAAGGAAGGGCTCTAACTATGTAGTTGAATCTTCTGATAGGAAGGCAAACCCAAAGTCTTGATGTATGGGGCCGGATTTCTGTCGAGTTGAGCAATTTTTAACTTCTCGAATAGTAATCCATTAGTACTTTGGTTTATTTGAACTTATTTGAATGCCAGAGCAACCTTGTGAAACCATGTCTTAGTAGCCTGAATAGCCCTTTTAGCTAGGTTTTGTAAATGATTTCTCCTGGTGGTTTCTAAATGTCTCTTCGCTTGTGTGCAGTTTTCGTGGAAACACTGGACAAATGCTTCAGAAATGTGTGTGAGCTTGACATCGTTTTCAATTACAGCAAGGTATGCGATATTCCCTTGTTTACATGCACTAGGACTCTTGTGTATTGTTGGCTTGTCGCTATTGTGCCTACGATTTGTGTTCTTTGACATCAAATCACTGGTAAAAAATACTGTCTCTATCTACTTGATTGTCGTTCTAGTACAATAATTAATGTAACTGGGCAATTTTGCTGGGAAATAGGTTCCTTCTGTGATAGGTGACAATCATACCAAAGTTATTCTCTCGTGTTATCTTTCAGTGAGAATGAAACCACAAATATTGTATCAAGGGTTCGAATGATACCTTGTTTTCTTTTCATGAGCACTTCCCCGTGTTTCCTCGGAACTCTGCTACTTTAACACTTGAAAACAAGCAAGCTTCCTAACTGCCTGAAGATTAGCACTCCACCTCTCTACTAACAGACCGGTTTAATTAACGAAAAAAACTAGAGTCAAAGATTGTGCATCTTTTATTGCCTAGCAGCATGAATTTAGTAACTCATTAGAGACTAATTCGACTATGGTTCAACTTCTCTTGCTGGGTAGCTGCATACCATATTGGATGAGATAATCTTTGGAGGCCAAGTGCTGGAAACAAGTTCAGCCGAAGTCATGAAGGTTGTTGAAGAAATATCAAGGTGCTTCTTTCGCTCTCTCTCTCTCTCTCACACAATCACAGTTTTCATTGGCTGCCTAATTATCTTGAACATTACCAAGTGACAAACTTGTGTGTGATGCAGGCAAGAATCAGCCTCAAACTCTATAGGATTAGTTACCAAAACAGTTTCTGGCTGGAGGAATAGGTAGCACACTGTTTCAAGACCTCATCGACATCAGATTTTAGGCTCCAACTCCCATTAAACTTGCATTTTCTCCCATCCCTCTACTTCAGCTGTTGTACTACTCTTTCCTCTAGCTGCTCACAGCTCATCAGACTGCTGTTATTTGAAATCTTATGAAATTTCCATTTGGATTCTTCACTCATTCATTTCTTTACATCTATTGATTGCGAATTAAGTTGGCTGATCAACTCTCGAGGATGATCATCTCTATAAACATAATGAAAAACAGCATACACGGCATAATCAACTTTCTGGGCGGAACGCCTCATATTCTTACAAATTGGATTAACCCCTCAGTTTGATATATTGAGCTCCTGAAGAACTACACGGGCGCCTCATATTCTTACAATTGGATGAACCCCTCAGTTTGATATCTTGAGCTTCTGAAGAAACACGGGCAGAATTACGTCCTGGTGCTCCCATTACTCCACCTGGATGGGTTCCGCTTCCACAGAGGTATAGTCCTGGAATCGGCGCCTTATAATCCGACATGGCTGTTTCCATTTTTGTGGATCTTTACCATCCTTTAACTGGCCACAGGAGGAAGAGAGAGTCCCATGGAGAAGCAAACTCAGCCCCCCATCGAGCAGGTGTTTGTTTTTGTGGTTCTAATTTGGGGAAGTACTTGTAAGGCCGATGACGCGCTCCAGGTCTGGAGGAGTCAACATGTCATACCCAATGAAGTAGGTGCTGAAGCCTGGATCATACTCGTCAATCAATCTGAAACATCTTTCTGCATACGCTTCCTGCAGAAATGATGGATTTCAACATAAACTGCGATTACAGGTATCCTCCAAAGCCCATGACTAAAATGGAAGTAGTTCTGCATGACTCGACACTCACTATGTACATTGGCTCATTCCAGCTTCCATCTGATGGCTTGTATGGTGTCGGAGATGAAGTTGGAATTCTTCAGCAACAAGATGAAATCGCTAGGGAGAACATCGCTTGGCAACAATTCCTGTGATTGAGATGGAGAATAAGAAACTGAATTGGTGATATGACTGCTCTTTCGTCCAAACTGATCTGGTGCATAAGCTAGAACAACGCTTTACCAGGAAAGTTTTGCAAGGAGTGGCATTAGACAGAACAACTCGATATAGAACTTGCATACCGTCAGCAAGGACCACCTACAAACGTAGTGAACCATGTTTTCCATAGTTAGTCAGCTTATATGTAATCCAAAGAATCTCGGATAATCGTCGGCGTCCCTTTTGGAGAAATTTCTGCATGGTTGTGATCGGCTTTGGTTCCAAGCAGAATGTAGCGGCCATCAACGGAAGGCGTGAAAGAGAATGCGTTCCTTCCAACATCTTCAATCCATGCCTCTCCAACTCTCTGTTCTCGAAACAAATTAGGAGAAAAAAACAGGGGAAGCAGAGTAATAGGAGTAGAAAAAGAATGATTACTTGACGACGGAGGGGCGAAGGAGACTGTGGAGGTAGTGAGGTAGCTGCATCTGGAGAACTGGAAGGCAGGTATGATCTCTTCAGTAACGGCGGCGGCAGCTGCCGTTGTGGCCGCCGCCGATCACCAGCGCGTCGCATTTCTTCTTCTTGAGAGTACGGGTCGATGTGAACGAGGAGAAGGTGGCCACGGTGGTGAAGCATTTCCGCAACATCTCCCTGCGTGAGTTCTGGGGTTTGCTTTTGCTTTCACTTTTGAGTTTTGACTACTCTGTTCTGCTCGTTTACGGGCAGTTACGTTCAACCGCGAACTTGTAAGATTGGCGCGATGGGGAGTAATATTTTTGTGGAGCGGATTCAATATCAAACTGTATATTTGGTTTCTACAAACTACATTCCTTGTAATGGGCAAGTGAACCAAAAATATAGTTGTAATATTAAGACACAAGTAATAAAATTATCGTATTCACGAGTCTCTAGATTTACTATTACTCGGTTTCAGCCTATTATCTAGGAAATTCAAATTCAAGTTAAACAACTAAAACTATTCTAACAAAACGAGAAATAGCTAAACTAACTAATTAAAAGGTAGGAAACAACTAAAACTATTCTAACAAAACGTGAAATAGTTAAACTAAGGGTTATATGTATAATGTGCCTCTCTACTATGACGTTTTATCAAACATGTCCCTCTACTATTTTTTTACATCAAACATGCCCCTGTAATTTGGAAAAACTATCAAACATGCCCTTTAGTTGAACTTTCCATTGAAAAAATCGTCAATCATGGTTGAACCGAGATTTAGACGACCTGACATCGATAAATGGGAGGGGAATTTTCAGTTTTGACCCTTGTTTAGTGTTTTATTTCTTTAGGTCTCGTCAAAGTGAAATTATTAGAATTATTTGGTTATACAGAACAAAAAAAAACTCTAAAGTGAAATTATTAGGGATATTTTAGATATTTGGGTCGCCCAAACCAAAGTTCGGTCTTGGTTAACGGTTTTTTGATGAAAATTTCAACTGAAGGGCATGTTTGATACGTTTTCCAAAGAACAGGGGCATGTTTGATTAAAAAATAGTAGAGCGGCATGTTTGATAAAACGTCATAGTAGAGGGGCATATTATACCTATAACCCTTAAACTAACTAATTAAAAGGTAGAAGGCTCACTCAGGTAATGATTCCACCTAGCCACTAGCCGGATTAATGATTGATGGTTGTCAAACTTATTTCACTCTTCATTTATAATGTGGAAAGTCCTTAACAAGTCTTGAATCCCAATTAAAGCAATCAATTTCCTCTTAAGTCGAATGGTTAGAGGGATATTATCCTCAACTAACACAATCGATCAAGGAAATTCACACTAGACTCTCTTTATTGGTAGGACATTGTTGGGTACTATGTCCAACTAGAAAAGGGATGACAGTGAGGTAAAGTTGTAGCTTATGCCAAACAGTCTTATTCTTCAGAAATTGCTTCTTCACATTCATTAAGATGTGTCAAGTACATAGTATATGGAAGATGCCAGGCCAATCTTTCCTAAGTGTTTTGGCCATGGCTGGAACCTGATCAGTGAAGATAGTTTATGATCCATACAACGACACAAAGTATCAAACAACCACTCGAAAGATGCACTAGTCTCGTCGTGCAACAAAAATGCACTAGCAAACATCCCTACATAACACAAGTCGTCAAAAAAATTTAAAAAATTATTGAAATCGTCCAAAGTAAAATTCATACACAACAGACTAGTACTCAAACTCTCCAGACTTATACTCAAACACTCCAGACTAGTACTCAAACTCTTCATAGTAGTATTCAAATTCTTCATACTAGTATTCTAAAAAGTATTTCAACAAATAAGTAGCTTCACTGTGTGTCGTGTTCCTTTGCCTTTTCTTTTTCAGATGGCTCCTTCGGTCATTCCTCGAGAATGTAAGATTTTCATACCCACAAGCACACATAATCAATAGCTTGTATGAAAAGCTAAAACTAATACCAGCATTCGTGTTGGCTTCAACCACTAACAACAACAATATCGTCTGGCCATTTCTTCGTATTCTTTGGATTTATAGTACTCTTGATTGAATAACCTTGTTTATTGCATTTTTAGTAAAGGTACCAAACCTTTTCCTCACCCTTACTGTTCTTGTACAACTTCGCGTGTTCGTTTTGTATTCGCACACTAAAACCTCAGTCGTCAACATAACTTGAATAGAAGCTATAGCAGTCGTCATTAGTCTTGAATTGCAATTTCCTCCTTAAATTTTCGTCTTCTAGTGCTGCATAGCCTGCCATGTAAATTTAAAGTAAAATACAATTAGAACCTCAACGATCATTGTCCTCTAATCCTAACTAGTATTCACATGTGATTACATCCAACATTCATGAATACAACTAATATTCTTCAGCAGATGAATACGTATTGGAAAAAATGCCAACTAATATTCTTACACGAACAAGTATTCATGCACACACAAAAACTACATGCACGTATGTACGAATAATAATTGAAAGCTCTCTCAACTCGTATTAAAAACATAGGAAGAAGTATTCAATTACTGAAATCTCGGAATTTTTTTTCAACAAACATAATAAATGCTCCAACCATATGAAGGCATTCAATGCTCGACTAGAACCAAAACATACATAAGTCAACATAAATCGTTTGTGTGGCCTTCACGTACCCTTTTCTATTTCATCAACAATATTCATCCACTCTTACGAGCCCCACAAACTATCACATGTATCTTTACCATCCGCTTGAGGAGGATATCAGCAAGATCAATGACATCCTTCTTTTGGATTCCAAGATCGACCTCTTCTAGAATATTGAGGTCAACATGCCTGTTGTCTCACAATTTCGAAACACTCTCCCTCATTAAGGATGGCAATTTCGACATGCCCCGTTTTACCCAACCTATTTGACATGTTTTGGGAAGGCTAATACCCACCCTTAGGCGAGGTGGGGCAAGCATGGATAGTGTCCACGACATGACCTGCCCTGACCCGCTCCACTTTTTACTCGTTCTTACTTAAATCACATTTAATTTAGTGAAATTACTTAGCATTTTACTTTTATTACTTAAAAGTAATATTTTGCGAAAAATTTAATTATATTAATCATGTTATAGTTTGTTTCTTACTTTTTGTCATGAAAAGATAAATATTTTCAAAGTTTTAGGTTTAAATTACATACCAATTTGGGTTAACCTGTCTCGACCTGCGCCCCGTGATAAATTTTCAGACCTGAACTCTACCAATCACGGAACAGGTATGGGTATCTTGATACCCGCCCCTCTCTGCCCTATTGTCATTCTTAGCTCCTATGGGTTCTTCTTCTTATCGTCGAAGGCCAGATTTTGCATGAGATGGCCAGATCTGGAAATCAAGTGTCCTTCTTTTCAATGGAAGGCAAAGGAGAGAAGAAAAAAATGAGGGATAATGGAGCATGAGAGAGAGTTGGTAGGTGGGTGTATTAAATGAGTGTTTTTGTGCTCAAATTTTCACCCAAAAAATCCCGCCAACCCCCTCCCCATTTGGCCTCATTCTCACCTGGCGACCCCACCCAATTCCCCTTTTCTTTCCTCGGCTCAGCTCAGCCCAAAAAAAATCGACATCTAAAGGGTGAGAATTGATGACTTTTTAATTGTCTCTAGTTTTCTTAATCGATTTTTATCTTCTTTGTTCTAACTTGGATTTCAATTTTTTTTTTTCAAAGATGGAACGAGTACGTTGTGATCTACAAAATGATGTTCATTTTCAGTATATTTCGACAAAAGAAATTTCATACTACTCGTTACCATCTTGGTACCACATTCGTTTTTAACTCGAATTCTGAAAATTTTTGCATAGGAAGAACGAGTTCCTCGTGATTTATTGTATCTGCAAATTTTTGGAGAAATATACAGGACCATATATACCACCTCATACCACCCTGGTATAAGGGTGGTAACTGGTGGTAAACAATGACAAATGTAGTAAATGAAAGTTCGTACATTCCTACTATCATGTATTTAATCATCCTACACTGTGGTATGTTCATATCACGATGATACACTTCCATACCACGTGGTATATGTAATACCAAGCATTACCACAATGGTATGGACTGGTACTAAATGTTCAAGTTTTTTCGTTCCAAAATATATCAAATTATATATCATTTTGAGGAGCACAATTAATCTGATTTATATTTGTAAAATATTTCAATTGAGATTTTAAATGAAAGAAATATACCCCATTAAAATTTGTAGGAAAACAGTTTGAGACCTTCCAGATGTAAGATTATATATGATTAAGGTTTACTCCCGAACTGCCCCCATATCATGGTCTTCACTTCATTTTAGTTTTATTTTAGGACGTAAATATGTCTCGAATGGACAATCAATAAGACTCCACTTCATTAACTAACAATGGGATTGTTGGTCTTTTGGACAAAAGTTCAGACATTACAAGAAGTTACATAGCAGCCAATGAAGAGATTAAAAAGAACCATTGGCAGCTAATTTCTACACTACACATCATCGTTTCCAGACTAATGAAAAATGAATCAAGTAGCACTGCATCGCCATGCTTTGAACATGATTCCAGTGAGAAAGTGCTTCGACCTCTGCATATACTTTTATCCTTTGTGGTTTTTTTTCCCCAGTTTTTTTTGCCCTAGATAAGAACTGCCTTCCCTACTGTTTCAAACTATGCGCAATGCTAATAATTACACAATTGGGGAGCTTCCATAGAACAAGATATTCACAGGGCTGCAGAGGACGAAAGATCAGTCTGTGCGTTGTAAGAAGGAGAAGCCCGAGTTCTCACGAATTAGAGGTGGCGGTTCAATCTCAGCAACATCGACATGCTCCATTGACTTGGAAATGTCGTCTACTGTGAATGGTATACTGCATTCACAAAAACAATAAAAAAGATGAATAGGTGTCTTGGGGACTACGGAGTACATTTTTCATTCTACAAACCTTGAGGGAATTGGATCTATGTTCATACCTTGAATCGTCATCCAACAAGAACGAGCTGCTGACAGCGTTATTCGTGTCCGCGGTCATCATGACTCTCATGTTCGAGATGACCTGAAAGAAATCAGGGGAGATCCAGTTACCAAAGAGACAAGTAACCATACTGAACACTTGTCATTGGTGGCAAGTAGAGTGTTAGTTCAGAAGAGTCGAGTGCTTACCTCTGATGAAACACTATGTGTCCCGTATTTGTCATCCCAGTACATGGTACTGATTCTGTACAGTTGTTGTATGCTGAGAACCTGGAGATACCACAAAGAGAAGAGTCGGGGAAAGGTCAATGCAAAAAGAATAAAGGGAAAAACAAGCAGATACAGAATACTGAATTGTGTTATCCTACTCACAGGGCAAAGATCGGTTGTAATTTCTTTCAACGCTTTCTTTGGCTTCTGATGTATGACCTGAATGGTACAAATGATCATACCCCATTAGCAAATCAAGATCAGGCAAGAATGGTCGTAGAAAGATGCGACATTTTGCTGTAACAAACCAGGAATCCGACAGCTTGTCTTATGTGTTTCAGTTCCTCCCACGCCGGGCCTACAAACTGAATCGAAAAGTTACCGTTAAGTGGGTTTCCAAAAAGGGAAGAATTTGAACTACCAAGATACCCCCAAGGCCCCAACTAGTAAATTACCTCCTCAGTTGCATCATGGCACCACTGCTCCAGTTCAGCCAACCCTGTCTTTACATACTCCCCGTTACTGAATGAGCAGCATTCTCGACGCAAAAGAAGGCTGGAGAAAGTCAAACTCTTAATTTTCAGTTTTCGTGTTCCAACAAAGTCTGGGACACTAGAAAAGTTCGACGGGAGAGGACTACCGGTACCTGTTAAATAACTGAACGTTGATGAACGAGAATATCTGGGTGAACACCTTTCGGATAAGGAATGCAGGTACCTGTGGGAACACCACATTGAAGAGTTCATGCCACATAAAAAGGAAAAGAGGAAAATTGATCTTCATTCGCGTAGTAAGAATTTCCACTCACGTAGTTGGCTCTCATTGTTTTCAAGCAACTGTTCAAGGATCTCGCTATGCTCTGCCAATGAGCAATAAGTGTTTGTTGAGCCATAGCGTTCGCCTGGGCTCGTCCCTTGGCTAAACCAGCTCGTGATGTACGCGGTGCCTGCATTTAAATTTCCAGATGTGATTTGCAAGAAAGGGGACTGTAACAGATCTAAGGACAAGGGCATGAGGACTACCTGGATGCACAACCCTATCAAAGGCGAGATCTCTTTCTTCAAATTGTCCCTTATCATTCCATATATCTTTTCCAGGAAAGCCGTCAACTGCTGCTTGAAAAGCAAAGCAGGATACTTAGCTTCAACTTGACGCAACTCTTCCAGACCACCGAGCACCCTGCCATTTAGGAATGAGAAGCCAGCACTTTGTGGAGAACCACGGAACCCCTGAAACACACAGCCCACAAGAAAAAGGCAACTGGTAAGAGGATTCATGAAGTACGAAACCAAATGTCCTAAGGGGAGAATGACTGAAACCTGATTATGTTCTTTACCTGGGATACCCTCCCAAACAGAGAAGAGGATGTTGATCTTCGGCGTTGTGGTGTTAAGCTAGCAGCACCGGTTGCTTTTAGTGTCCGTTGAAGCAGCAACAAGAGGGTTGTGGAATTGGATAGCCAATACGACAATACATCATTGTTATCCTGGGCCTATCAGAGGGAAATGCATGCCATCAGTAATAAGTAAACAGCAATACATACCTAAATTATAATGGATTTCCATACATGCACATACATAATTTCCGATTCAAGGACAACCAGTGAATGAAATAAGCCAAATGATTTTGCCCGAATGTAAAGGAAATGAATGCGTTATAATTGTTCTGGATTTGCTGGATGTACCGAAACGATATCAATTAATTGTTACAAATAGGAGACAGAGGTTTTAACTACCTCGATTGCTGAACCAATTGCCTGAATAATACGGTCAAAAATATTAGTCCTTTCAACCTCAAATGACCTCCACTGAAGAAGGCATTTGTATATCAGGGAAGCAGCAACAGGTTTCCCCCCGGAGAATCCAAGGTCTTGAGATACACATTTGAGTAGCATATCTTGTATATCCTATAGGCCAAAGCATAGCAGTTAAAGATAATTTACAAGTTACATAAACAGCGAGCAACATCTGTCAAGAGAAGTGCAAACACAGATTCCTTATATATGCATTTATTTCCACTTATTTCTAAAAGCCTACCTGCTGCTTTTCATTTAGAGATCTCTGGGGTTTGTCCTCGTTTTCAGACTCCGTTGTACTAGGCAAAGCCAGCATTGGGTCCTGCAAGGTTTGGATAATACAGAGAAAAACAACTTCAAGCTGCTATATAACGATACATAGGGAAAAAGTATGTCACGCCAAGAATGTGTAATATTACTCTTAGCGGAGTTCTCCTTGCTTCTGAGTGAGGAATACTTCCGTTCTCTGGGGTTCTCTGCAATAAGGAGAGAAAAATCAGCACAAAGTCCATGTAGTTATCGCAAGTGTTGATCAAATGAATGGAATTTATACTATACCTGTATAATTGTTGTCTTTGGTCTAAGGGCTAAGGCTTTTGCAGTTGGTGATATAGCAAGTGCTTGTTGACGGAGAACTTGATTCTCTGATTCCAAGTTGGATACCTTCTCTTCAAGACTGCAGTGAATGATTAGGACGAGGATGAAATTGATGATACGCATTCATTAACATATCAATTACGACATAACACTTAGAGTACACCAAGAAAGGACTAGACAAGAAATGAGCAAGTGTCACAAACCTCTGAACTGAATCTTGAAGTTGATCCACCTTCTTTTCTGCGTCTTCAAGCTTCTTACTAAGCTGCTCCTTCTGAGACTCAGCAACAACACAAGCTTGTTTGGCCTCTTCTGCTGCTTGTCTTTGAGAGTTCAGTAAACCCTAATGAAATTAAATTTCTGTCAACACAAGGTTTTTCGTTTGAGCTAGTAAACCTAGACAATTTTACTGTAGTTCCCAATGTCCTGAAAGTGATCCTTATCCTCAAAGCACGGAGACTTAATATAGAAATGGACACATACCTCCAACATTTCAACTCTAGCAGTAAAAGAGCGAACTTTCTCTGTGTCTTCAACTACAACAGGAGTTTCCTTAATAGCTGGAGGTGCTTCTCGAATAGCTTTTCGTGCTGCCTCCCGTTCCTTAACAACTAAAGCCTTGGCCTCTTCTACTTGTGATTGCATAGCATTCAATGCATTTTGAAGCTTGGCAACTTCTTGGGTTTTAGACTCCTCCAGATCGGTCTGTGTTTGAGCAAAAATTATCAGCCAGGTCAGAAATGGAGATCAAGGAACAGTTACGCCTTTTTCTTTATGCAAGAGCACAGTTAAGCATTAATCTGAATACAAGCAGGCCAGGATGCAATATAACTACCCTTAGTCGTTTTTCCAATTGCAGGCGCCAAGTGAGTTCCTCAACACGCTTTTCCAACTTATCCTTTGCTTCCTTAAGAGCTCCTGTCTCTCTTGCAGCCTGATCGCATTCACAAGAAAATTTAGCACAATGTTCCTCCTCACGATTATATCTCATACATATGATGATATCTCTAGCAAGATCTACCATTTTCAGATTTCTGAGCTCTCTTCTAGCAACTCTGCATCTCCACCCACACTGTGTAACAATTGTAGCCTTCTGAAGACGCGTGTAGTAGGAACGAGCTTGGTAGCACCGCCAATGAGCCTAAGAACCAGGTAACACAATATCAATGTTTCTCCAAATCAACATAAAAAAGGAAAACCCCTCTTGACAACTGAACAAACATAGAAAATCAGATCATACCTGGATGGTGATGGCAGCTTTAGTTTGCTTTCTGAACCTGAATTCATTGCGTGCAGCCATAGCCCTTAAGCCTGTCTGCAATGTAATTGCAGATGATCGTTTCCTTAAGTAGAATTTTCTGGCAACAAAGAGGCGGAAGTTTTTCTGAATCTTCACAGCAGATGCCTCCCTCCTCAGCTGCTCAAAAATTCCACGGGATTTATTACCTACAGAAAGAAGTTATACAAAATTATGGAGGCACATGGGTAAATCCTTCCAATTTCTTAACAACCAGCCTGCAAAATTTGACTAATAACATTTCAAATACAGAAGAGGAGCCAGTTTTCCTGTATTCCACTAAATAGGCTTCAATCATTTCAGTCAGCCATAACATTCCATCAATGTGATAAACAACCGACATAGTGGTCTACCTCATTTCCATAACAAAACACGACTTATAAGAACTACCACTTGCTGGTTGAGGTGGTTCTATCAGTAACTTAATCAAAATCCCAGAAATCACCTCGCATATAAGATTGCAGTTCCACAGCTGCCTTTCTTAATGAAATGAACTCCTTGCGAGCAATGTGAGTGCGGATCTGCCGCTGAATGATTCTAGCTGCATTTCCAAGCACTTCTGCTCTCCTGGCATCCAACTCCGCCATCTGACCTGCTCTCAAGAATACCTTTGTCTTTCCTATCTGCCAAATGTGAATTCACATATGTTGTCGGTTAATACTTCATATGCCCAATGAAAAAGGATAAACTGGAAATGAAGTAATGGAGCACAAAAGTTTCAAAATAGAAAGGTGCTAGTTCAATCACCTGGTACCCTTTAAGTCCTTTTCTGTTGAGAATCATTTGGCATGCAACCGTATCATCATAACTGCAACAATAGAGAGAAGTTACTTACAAATTATGTTCCATATCATCAATCTAAACAAGGAATCCCATTACTGGATTTACCATACAATATTAACGAGTGAGAAGATTGCAGAAACTTACTTTCCATCTAAAACTTCAGGAGCTAGAAGACCAAAACGATTGAGAAACTCATAAAAGGACCGCCTTGTAGGATATCCAGCGCAGCTAATCCTAATTGCCTCAAGAACTCCCTATTTTATAATGCATAAATATGAACAGTTCAGTAGAAAGAAATTAAAGTAATAGCAATCAGATTTTGGCAAAAACATAGAAGTAATGTTCAAGTGGTTGAAAATTTTAGTAAACATGACTCAAATTTAGTACTAACCCCACATCGTAACTGCTGAATGATATTAACGTTCTCAAAAATAGCAGGCTTCAGAACATTATTCGGCTTGACGCATCTAATATAGTGAGGTTCTGTCACACTCAAGGTCTCCATCAGAGATTGGAGTTGTAGCTGGGATCAAGAGATTAAGAAGCTTTCAAATTATACTTCAACAGATAACTTGCACGTCTGATTATTATACACAAACCTCAAGTGTCGCAAGCGAATCCGAACATGAGAGTGAGGGAAGGCTACATTTATTACCTTAAACCGAGCACCAATAGAAGAGAACTTTGATGACTTTGATGATTCTTCTTTAAGTGGTGGGAACAATCCCACAACAAAGGGGCATTTTGAAGCAGTCATCACAGCTTGATGTTCAGCTACCACATAATCCTTATTTTTATCCAAAAACTGATTGGCTTGATAATTAACCTTTAAACAAGAAAAAAGTAGAGAAAATGATCAATTCAGGAATCGTCAGTGTTGATCAAATCTTTTTGAACAACTGTTTGACATGACTGTAAAATGAGTTTACCTCTCCAGCATAGTGTAAGATAGTGAAATCTGTACGTGATAGTTTTGGTTTGATAAAACGTTTGTTGTTCTTGAATGTCTGGTACAGCTTTTGAGCAAAAGTTTCATGTGTCGATTTTGGGAACATGCTGCAAAATTGTTCAGAGAGTCTAAGTGGAGCCCTCAAACCAATTCCAGCGTGAGATCCAAAAATCAAAAGACTTCTAATATGGTAAGCTTGAACTGAGAATCGAAGAGAACAACATACCAAGCTTCATCTAGAAGGGAAATTATTCCTCCCGGTTTCTGTAGTAAATGACCAAAATAGCAGTTCAGTGCCTTATCCAGATTTGATATAAGAGTGACTCACTAAGAGATGAGTATCCACTAACTTCTTATAGGATTTTGCTGAAATACTTACGTGTCACAATGGCCAATGCCACCAAAATTGCATGTTTCTTTTAAGAATCATAAATATGGGGGTAAACAATGACTGAATGACACTAAAAGGGTTAAAAACCTTCTCAATCAGATCCAAAACATCCTGGTTATCGACAAATTCTATGTAACTCCATTCTATCTCCTCTTTAGTATACTCTTCCTGCTCCATTTTGAACACATGCTGCAAATATACAATCAATTATGAGAAAAGACAGTTACTTCAATCCATTTGAAGTGTAACCAGAAACCCATCGGTTTGTGAAGTGGCCTAACCTGATTGAAATGCTGTTGTAATTTTTCATTGGTGAAATTGATACAGAATTGCTCAAAACTGTTTCACGAGCACAAATGTAAAAGCAGAAGCTCAAAACTATATCTCATACAAAAGGGTAAAAGGAAAGCCTTACAGCAGGTAAAATGAAATATTTGCAGAGTACATACAGTGATCAGTGATGGAAGATTCACACAAAATAATAAACTTGTAATACCAGTGACTTACCTGTTGCACTTAAAGCTTTCAAAACCATAGATATCCAGAACTCCAATTATTGATTTAGAATCTGGGTCCTGTCCAATTGAAACGTTTATCTTTTCTACAATCCTGGCCGTAATTGAAGAAAGGATATAGTAAATTATTCACCACAGTAATGAGGTAGCAATCTGCGAAACTGGAATACAAGAAGCAGGAGGAAAACATATATGATCTTTATGAGCTCCTCACCAATCAAACAGACGAGAGTATAAAGTCTTAGCCAAAGCATCCCTGCTACTGACAGCATTCTCAGGGTCAAGTGTTCTTGTGATAATTTCTTCAGGTGTTACCATCACACGTTTAATAAGGGCATCTTCCAAGTTCTTTGGATCACACCTAAGCATTAGGTAGGTTAAGACTGATGCAGGGTGGCATAATATACCTACATATTAAAATAAATGGGAAATTCCTCCATTCATTGGACGGTATAAGATCCGTACCTGAGGAGCTCTGCAGTCGTATCAAGATGAAATCTAGATTTATCATCTTTAATCTTTGAAGAATCAATCTCTGCTCCTTTAGCAAATTCGATGTTTCCAAGATGAAGAATTGCAGCTACAACCCTAAAAATTGCTTCCTAACAGCATTGTGATTTGTTATAATCCAACTTGAACGGCCGTTTTACAAAATAGGATATATCATAAGGAAACTCCAGCAGATTCTAGAAACAAACCTGATCTTCTTCACCAATCCCAACTATATCCATAGCCCTTATAGTTTCAAGATATTCATGAGCATCATTTACCCCATCCAACTCGTAACACTTAGATTGATTTAAATAATGGAAAGATTTCGGGCTCCCCAACTTGTACTTCTCTTTATCCTGCAGGGAGAAAACAGAATCTTGTAAAATACTTTACAGGATATGAGTGCATTGCTCGGTTACCAACACAAAGACCAACTCCACTACAAAGAAGTAAAAGAGACGGTTTTACCTCAGCTGGTGCCGCACAGAGAAGATAAAAGCAATGGTAGTTTCTCTCTGGATCAGAAATTTGGCACACACGAGATCTTTCAAGCAGATAAGTTCTTATAGCAGCGCCAGATATTCTACCGCTCTTATCAAATTGGATCTCCACAAATTTCCCGAAACGGCTATATTTGTGAACCACAATCAAAGTGAATATAAATAAGATAATGCTGCAATAACACTGATGTCCAAGAAATCCATAATCCATGCTGATGCCTACCTAGAGTTATTGTTGCGAACAGTTTTGGCATTACCAAATGCTTCAAGAACTGGATTTGACTGTAGTTAACACCAAAACAGAAACATCAGTCTTCCAGGCATAACATATTTGCTAAAGATACAGCTAGCTGAGATGGAAATTTTTTAACCGCAGACTCTGTTTACCTCCAAAACTTGTTGCTCAACTGTCCTTCCTTCTACTCCAGATCGCCCTCCCAAGAAGGCAAGATATCTCATGAGCATCTTTGTAGTCTCGGTTTTTCCGGCACCACTTTCACCACTAACCAGGATTGAATTGCTTTTCCCTTCATTAACCATTGCCCTATATTTCTTCATCCTCCGGATATCAGTACAAACTACATAAAGATTATGAAGACATATTGGTACACGAAAAGAAACCTGACCTGTATGCAGCATCTGCGACTGCAAAAACATGAGGACTTAGCTCCCCAAACGCAGCGCCTTTATACTGTTCCATCATGTGAGTATCATAGAGATGGGGTAACCTTTGAAACGGATTGACAGCTATTAGGATATTGCCGGTGTATGTCTGAGAGAAGTAATGCACAGATATTAAATGTCTTTGCCCATATATCAAACCGTCTTGACCAATTGATGTAAATAAAAGAGAATGGTAATAAAATAACTCACATAGATTTCGTTAAGTTCATATCTGGTGGCAAGATTTTGCAGAACTCCAGGTTCATGCAAATAGGAAAGCTTGGTCATGTCATCCACACCACCAGGTGGGGCTTCAGTGTCTTTGGGAAATACTTTGGACATATTCATCACAACCTGTAGAATATCATTGATAATTGATCAATTCAAATTAGGCAAAGAATCCGCTCTCCCAGCAAAGGAGGTTTAGAAAAATGAAACTGAAGAGCTTACATTTTTCCCATTTGTAGTCTGTACGTGGACATCTTTTCCACTTATCCTTGTAACTTCACCATCAATCCACGCCAACTTGGGATCTTCGATCCACACATGAGAACCAACGATTATGTTATCCAGTGCAGCCTGCAAATGAAAAAAAGTTTGCTAAGCGTTTTCCAAGAAACCATTAAAATTACATTTGCCCCATGAAAGGATGGTCCACAATTGTGAGAAAACAATGTAGCAGGCGCCTACATGCTAATGTTACGAATCAAACATGTTTCTTTTCAAGGAAATAAAGGACCACGAACTTGTTTGAGCCTTTCGTATTAATCAATAAAATGTAAAATATTCAAGGCCAATGTCTTCCACTTTGAGAGCTCGACAATGAACTTGCCGAAAACTATTATTTGCCAGCACCTTATAAACCTGACACTAAGGGGGAAATATATGCCATAAAAGAAGAACACAGTTGCCAAAATGTCGATCGACCAAATCGGCTCGATCGATCTCTCCGTTATCTCTAATGAAAATGAAATTACTGCTGGAACAGACTACAATGCAGTAAGAACCACTGACTTGACAAGCTTTCAGAAATTCACAGTTTGTCAAGGAGGAAAGTCTACAATAGAATCCAAGTCCCCCATAGTCAACAAAAATTCAAACAGAATCAACAAGTTGATACAGAAACCCAAACCAAGGAAGAAGCTTCACACCACAAAGAACGCGGGGAACAAATCACGAAATGAAGTCCAAACGCCCGCATGACCAAGTCGAGTAATCAAGATGGAATGAACAAAATTAAAAGTTCAAGCTTTCAGCTCTGGAATTTACCATTCGATGACACCAAAGCAACAGATCCCGCTTAACACAATCCTCCAACGCTCATCAAATGGAGAAGACCCAGTTCCTCCAATGGTCCAAAAGGAACCCCCAGCAATCAAAAGAACGCAGAGCTTTCAAATTCCAAGCCGAAACCGAAGGCAACCTCACAACCCTCCTTCCCTCCCTCTCTCTTTCTATCTCTTAAAAAGAATTTCAAATGAACCTGAAAAACTTAAATACCAACGACTCCTAAACTGTACACAGACTTTACTCTCTCCTTCCCTCTCTATGTTTGAAAGCAAACGACTTTGAAAGACGAAGAAGAAAAGAAAAAGAATTTCCCTGATTCTGTGTCTCTTGAATTTTGAGTTTCTCGCCACAGCAGCAAGCCCCCTGGTGTTGGTTTGTTCTCTCTCTCTCTCAGAAGTTCGAAGCTTTGTTGGGTTCCGGATTTGTTGTCCCCACACAAACAAAGCTCTCTTCCTTAAGTTCATAAACTCGAAATACAAACAATTGGAGTGTTTAGGATTTTATCTAAAATGAGTCATTATGTTCTACATAATCTCAAAAGATTAAGCAAGAGGAGTTTACTTCCCCTTCCTAGGTGTATCGTCTATTTACGCATATACCCTCGTAGCCACTTGTTGTAATCATCTTTCTTCTCATCTTTTCCAGAACCGAATTGGGTCAATGAGTGGGTCAGTAGAACCACTAAACGAGTTACAATAGCGATTCGATTTATTTGATTAGACAGTTATAATGGATCAAACGATTTGTAACGGTTCGACATGAAACCAGTTGAACCACCCTGGTTTGATTGGTCCACTAGTACCCAATTTCAACCCACAAAAAATTAAGAAAAAAATTACTTTAACTTAAACTAAGATCATCCAACCTAAACACATTAATTTTGTTGATGAGTGTCACCGTGATTACTAACTTGAAGTTAATAACAGAAATTGATTGTTTTTGTGTGATAGTTTGAATACTTTGTTAGAACCTTTTGGTGATAGATGATATAAATTTGAATTTGCTTATGGTTATGGTTAGTGATAATTTCACTCCTAAATTATTATACTATATGTGTCTTTTATGTTATAAGTTTATAACGCATGAGCGGATCTGTCAAAAGTTAACCAACGATTCTATACTAGTAAACCCTTGAACCATCAACCACTAACTTGATATCTAGTCAAGTTTTTCAAAAACATTGTTTTTTTCTCTCTCTTCCAAACTGAAACATTTTGAGGTGTTGTGATTTAGAAATTTCATATTTGTCCAACTTTATGGTGATGCGAGTATATCATTTGAAGATGTAAATGACATGTTAATAAATTAAATCTCTATTACTATCATGATCCGAAGTGGTATTTTAAAGATTTCTAATTGCTTATATATCATTCGTGAATTTTTAAGAGCATAAATGTTATCGATCTTAAAATTTTACTTTTAAGGCGTTTTTCTTGAAGAAAAAAGACATACTATATATACACATAGATGGGGTAAAATACCTCGAATACCACTTAAATTTGAGAATTGTGGCAGACATACCACTTAAGTTTGAATAGGGCATCAAATACCATTAAAGTCGCCAAAATGTGTATCCATCTAGTTTTTCATCCAACTCAAAACTTTAATTATCTTTTGGTACCCAAAACTTTTTAAAATATCAAAAACTATATTCCAACAAGTATTATCTAATATAAAAATTAAAAAACCTTCTACGCATAGTATTACTAGAATGACTAATAAAATTTGTTCAATATAACAGATAAATTAGTAAAAATAATAAACGAATATCAAGAAAAGTAATAATAAATGAATATCAGGAATGAATAATAAATATACTAGAAGATACTAATAAATATATATAACCAATATTATAAGATCCATTCAAAACCCCTAATACAATTAGAAGCACCACTAAAAACAGTTAAAATAGAACCTAATCAACCATCAATACATCAATACCAAAGAAGATTTATGCAAACTATAAAAGCTATAAATCTAGTAAAAATGACTATAGGAATAGAATCACAATTAGTAAATTTAATTAATATGAAACATACATAGTATTAGAGAATTACAAAGAGATTTAATATAGAAATTTAGACAAGATCAACATGATGTAAGAGAACTAAATATAACATCCTCAAATTATTTATATCGAGAAATAATTCATAGGATATATTTACTTAATGAAATAATTCAGTTATTAGAACACATAATGCTAATTGAAAATATTTATAATGATAATTGATTCTAAATTTTTTTATTCAAAAATTGGTTTGGTACAAAACAGAATTTTCAAAAGATTATTCCAACTAAACAATAAAAAAAATGATGTTTTTCATAAGTTCAAAGGATTTTTTACTATAACAAAAAGTAGAAGGACCAATTATGAAATTTAGAAAACAGAATATTTCAAGAATATTTTGTCAACTTTAACGAAATGCACTTGACAGTAAATTTAAGTGGTACCGGGTGCACATATAATACCCGAATTATTTTACCCAACATAGATGAAACATGACATTCATGATTTGGTCAATAGTAACGAAGGGATTGGATTTAACCTATGATCATATCAGTTTGGCCAATTATAATTACATCATAATCATTGCAATACTTAGGTACAAGGAACATAAGTGATATAGGTCGATCTATGATCAAACCTACCAAAAACGCCTATTTGATCCAATAATACTTTTTATAACCGAAGATCAATCTGACACGAAAATTGAATGATTACATTAGCATAAAATCGTACATTTTTAATCTATTTGATAATTTTGAAGCTGATACAAGACTTCAGATTATATAAAAGCAGGCGAAGGGCACTCTGGGATGAAAATTCCCCAAACAGAGCCTTACACGACAAGATAAAAGAGATGGCTTAGTTGTACCCTGCTAAAATTATTAATTTAAATTAATAAAATTTCAAATACATTTAATTCACTGATTTTCCTAACTCAATTTCACATTTAATCAATTGTCGTTTCAATTGGTGAACATAAGGCAAAAGCAAAGAAACATGAATATATACATTGGTAACCTACCAAGAAATTAGCAACATGCCAAGAAAGAATAATTGTTATACGTGGGTTTTTATTAAGGAAAAAGGAAATAAAAGATGAGTGTTCATTCTTCTACAATGATTGTACCTTCGAGGATATAGGCCATTTTACAGGATAAGGTTAGGTATCATGTTAAGTCAGATTTATTATTAGATTGTAGTCAAATGGTTATTTTTTTAATAGATTTGTATTCAATTGTTCATACATTTTGTATTTTTTAAAGGCAAAATACACTTGTATAGCCATAACTTACACGTTTGTGACAAATATAGCTATAATTATTCAAAAACACAAAATAGCCAATTCCGTCCATCTCTTTAACGATGTTACTTAACAATCTTACTAGACTGACGAAATATGCTGAGTTGCCTCATAATTTAGTTTAAAAAGAAAAAATTTGCAATCGGAACAACCCACCTCCTCCCTTCTGTTACCATCTCAACCGCCCATCTTCCTCCTATCGTACATCTTCCCCAATTCAAACTCCACCCTAACTTCTAGATGCTCTCCACCACCACCAGTGTTCTCCTCCCTCCCTTTCGTGCTAAGCCTTCCCTCATTTATTCAAGATTTTGTTACCGACCCTATCCTGAATTCAGAGAGATCTAGAAATCTATAATTTTTGTCGATTTTGGCAGACGTAGAAAGTGGTGGTGGTGGTGGGATAGTCGTTGCTGGCGACTGGTAGGAACCACCCTGATTCTTGCACTTCAACTTCTTCCCCTGATTCCTGTTGCTGCTACTTCTCATCGCTCTCCATGTCTGCTATACTCCATGGCCCCCACTACTGCGATAAGTTCATCACTACGGAAGCAACTCATCAAAGCAGCATCCGACCACCGTTTGGCCCTCGTCGCCGCCCATCTCTCCTACTTCCATTCCCTTCACGATGTCGGCGCTCCATCGGCAAATTCGTCGACGAGGAGCTCGTTCTGAGCACCTAATATGCTTCCCCTGGACCCCCTGTTCTCACCTTCCTCCCAGCAACGACAAATCTAAACCCAGATCCAAATAATCTTCTTCCACAACCTCGATTTCCGATTCCTTCGGCAGCGATGACAGCTACCACGGTAAGACTGTAAACTTTGTAGAAAAGACAAACGAATTGGAGGGGAAAGCTCAGCTGTGTACTGAGTCTCCAGTAGCTTTTATAGCTACAAATCCGATTAACAAACATAGTCCAGCTGTCCTTACATGATAGGGTATTAATTTAAACAAACAGTGAAAATTAACGGCTAACAAACTAAGTAGAACGCTGCCGTTTGCTCCTCAACTGAACTCCTTCTTCTTCTTTCATACGTCGTCGTCCTTCAGTCCTCAGTGCACTAGGATTCGATGTTCTGCAAATCAATTCTTTTGCAACTCTGTTCTTCTGCAACTCAATTCTGTCACCCCCCTTCAAGTTGGCGGTGCATCTGCAATCCCCAACTTGCCAAGCAATTCTTTCATTCTGAAACGATCTAACCCCTTTGTAAAGATGTCTGCCAATTGATCACCTGTATTCACATGCTTCAGTTTGATCAATCCAGTTTTGATTCGTTCCCTTGTGACATGCATATCAATTTCGATATGCTTGGTTCTCTCGTGGAAAACAGGGTTTTCTGCTATATGTATAGCAGACCTGTTGTCACAAAACACAGGAATTGGTAAAGATACTTCCACTGTCAACTCCGAGAGCAACCTCTTCAACCACTCTACTTCACATACCAAGTGTGCAAGTGCCCTGTACTTTGCTTCTGATGATGACCTCGACACTGTGGTTTGCTTTTTAGTTTTCCAGGTGAGAAGTGATGAACCAAGGAAGGTGCAATACCCTGTGATTGAACGACGTGTGTCTGGACAGCTTTCCCAGTCTGAATCACTAAATCCTGTCAATTTTGCTTCTGCTCCATGCCTAAACACAATGCCTTGATCTGGTGCTGTTTTGAGATACCTTAGAACCTTGTAAGCTGCCTGCATGTGTTCATTACAAGGGTTCTTCTGGTACTGGCACAGTTGCTGGACAACAAACACTATGTCTGGCCTAGTTATGGTGAGGTAATGGAGTCTCCCTACCAGTCTCCTATAGGTCTCCCCATTCTCCATTGGTGTTCCCTTAGCACACAGTTTCACCTTAGGGTCTACAGGTGTTTTGTATCCTTTAGCCTCTAGGTAACCTGTGTCTTTTAACAAATCAATGCAATACTTCCTTTGACAAATGCTTAAACCTTCCTGATTTCTGCTTACTTCCAGACCAAGAAAGTATTTCAGTGGTCCAAGTAGTTTTACCTTGAATTCCTTGCTTAAAGCAGTTTTGATTTGATCAAGATCCTTCTGTGCATCACCTCCAGTGATTATGTCATCTACATAAACCAGGAGGACTGCAATTCTTCCATGTGTCCACTTGGTAAACAAGGAATAGTCTGATGCTGACTGTGAGAAACCTAGTTTCAACAGGAAGCTGGTTAGCTTAGCAAACCACTGTCTTGAGGCCTGTTTTAGGCCATAAAGAGACTTTTTAAGCCTGCAAGTCATCTTCTGATTTCCTACCGACTCAACCTTCAATCCCAATGGTATTTTCATGTACACAACTTCTTCCAAATCACCATGCAAGAAAGCATTTGACACATCCAATTGCTCCATCTTCCAGTTCTTCATGTTTGCAACTGCTAGAAAGGTTTTAACTGTGTTTATCTTGGCAACTGGTGAGTATGTGTCCAGAAAATCTATGCCATATACTTGTGTGTATCCTTTGGCTACTAACCTTGCCTTTTCTCTTTCCAAAGATCCATCTGGCTTGAATTTATATTTGAAAACCCACTTGTTTCCTATCTCCTTCACATTTGGTGGCAAGGGTACCACATCCCAGGTCTGATTCTCATCCAGTGCATACAGTTCTGAATTTATTGCCCTATTCCATGCTTCTGATCTGATTGCTTCATAATAGGACTTAGGCTCCTCATGATTCACAACACTCAAGGCAAATGATCTGTTTACAAGACTCAGACAATCAATATTCAAACAAATTGCATGTTTGCTGCAAACATTGGCCTTACCATATGGTCCAAAGGAGATAGAAGGATCCAATTGGTAATCACTGTACTTGCTAGGCAGTTTAACAGCTCTCTTTGATTTCCCTTTGTCCTGCAGATACTCAGTGTCATGGTCTACATCAGTTTGTTGGAGTAATTCCTGATCATCAGACTCGAAGTAGGTATAGTCATCATGAGCCTCTGGTGGTGAACTGGTACCAGATTGCTCATGATGTGCTGACTTATCATGATCCTCAGGCTTCCCCCCTTCATCTGTGGATAAATGAAACTGAGGAGATAATGGTGGGGAAGAAAGAGGAACATGTAATGGAGGAGCTGGAATAGGATCTGTATCTGGTGAGAATAAGAAACTGGGAGAAGAAGAAGAAGATGACTGATCAAAGGAGAGAAAAGGGAAAATGGTCTCATAGAAAACCACATCTCTGGAGAGATAGGTTTGTTTTGAGTGTATGTCAAGAACTTTGTAACCTTTTACTCCAGCAGGGAAGCCAAGAAACACACACTGTCTTGCCCTGGGAGCAAATTTTGTTCTCCCATGGGAAAGAGTGTTGGCATAACACAGGCTGCCAAACACTCTGAGGTGTTTCAAGACAAGTGGTTCATTGTAGAGGACCTCATAGGGTGACTTGTTATGCAAAATGGGAGTGGGGAGTCTGTTGATGAGGTAAACAGCATGTAACACACTGTCACTCCAGTATTCTAAAGGCAGACCAGACTGAAATTTCAGTGACCTAGCCACATTAAGGATGTGCTGGTGTTTCCTTTCCACTCTCCCATTTTGTTCTGGGGTTTCAACACAGGAAACCTGGTGTTCAATTCCTTCAGCAGCAAAGTATGCACACATTTCAAATTCTTTGCCTTGATCACTTCTAATGATCTTAACCTTGGTATTGTATTGATTCTTAACTAGGTTGCAGAATCCTTGAATGAGCCCTCTCACCTCACTCTTCTGTCTCATCAAATAGATCCATACACTTCGAGAATAATCATCCACAACAGTCAAGAAATAACAATAACCATCATAAGAAACAACTGAGAGAGATCCCCAAATATCCATGTGCAATAAATGAAACTTCTCAGGTGCTGTGTTGGTGCTAATAGGGAAAGGAAGTTTTTTCTGTTTGGAGAAATGACAAACATCACAGTGTACTAACTTAGACTGAGTTACATTAGGAATAAGATTGTGAAACATGGACAATCTGTCATGACTAGGATGGCCTAATCTCCAATGCCAAAGGTGAATGTCTTGAGGCTGGAAATTGAAGATGGAGGCTGCTTGGTGAACTGGTGTGAAAGAGGGACTTGAAGTAGGGCTTGAAGAAATAATCAGTTGGTAAAGACCTCTAGACTCTTTTGCAAAACCAATCTTCTTCCTGCTTAGAAGGTCCTGAATAAAGCAATGATCAGATTGGAAGTGTAAGGACAAAGGCTGATCTTGAGTGAGTTTACTAACTGATATGAGATTGAAAGAAAAGCTAGGGACTAGGAGAACATTATAGATAGTTAAGCCTGTAGGTAAAACAACTGTACCAATACAGGTGACTGGGACTTGTGTCCTATTTGGAAGGAAAACATAGGTTTCAGTGACTGGATGGTATGATTTAAACATAGTCATGGAACATGCTATGTGGTCTGAAGCACCTGTGTCTAAGATCCATGAACTACTATTACTGGTTTTAGCTACATGGGATGAAGAAATGATGTGTATACCTGAATGGTTAGGGAAAGGTGGTGGATAGTAAGAGGCAGTGAAGGCTTGGTGGTTCACAGAAGGTGAGGAGGGTGGTGAAGGTAGGGTATTAGCACCAACTTGCAGCAAGGACCTGAGTCGAGCCATTTCTTCAGGAGTAAAGGTAGGTGGATTTTGGCTCATACCTTCTCTAGTTGTGTGCCCTTCAGATTGTGAATCACTTACATTGTTTCCTCCTCCTTGAGCAACTGACCCTGCAAACCTGGGTGTACCAGAACTAGAGCTAGAACAGGAATAACCATCCTTCTGCTGCTGTTCACCTTGTTTCTTCTTAAGCCACCAACAATCCTCAATGTTGTGATTGGTTCGTTTGCAGTATCTGCAGTACTTCTTACCCTGAGGATTGTCTGTATTTCCCTTGTTGTTAGAACCTGAAGCTGCTAATGCCAGAGTTTGATTCTTCTTTCCTCCTGTAGTTGCATTAGCCTTGAGCTTCTGTTCATGTTGTAAAAGATCATCAACTGCCTCAGAAACACTAGGCAGTGGCTTCTGCATTAACAGTTGTGTCTTAATCACTTCAAACTCTGGGTTGATTCCTCGAAGGAACTTGATCAAATAGTCTGTCTCCTGTTTCAGAACAAAGGACTCAACTGCAGCACAGGGCACAGTTGAACCAGGAGAACAGGCACAAGGTACTATTGGGCAAAATTCTGTGTACTCATCCCATATTCCTTTGATTGCTGTGTAATACTGGTTAATGGTTCTGGTACCTTGTTTATAGGCCAAAAGCTCATCTTCCAGGTTTGCAATCCTCATGGCATTTGGTTGTCCAAAACGCCTCTTCAACTCTTCCAAAAGTGTTTTGCAATTGTTGTGATTCAGGACTGCACGTCTCTGCTCCTTAGTCATGGAGTTTTGTATCCAGCATAAAACTACTGTGTTGCAAGCATCCCATATACCAAATAGATCTGACCCAGGTGTGGGTGTTGGGATAGATCCATCCAGAAACCCAAGCTTGTTCTTTGTCTTTAACACCACTTGAATGGATCTTGCCCACATAGTGTAATTAGTTCCATCAAATGGTTCAGCAACCAGTGACTGTGCCATATTCTCATTAGGGTTCAAGTACTAGGGATTACCAAAAGTGATGGTCTCTGTGATGGGTTGCTGCTGTTGTCCAAAGGATCCAAACTGGAAACGCCCATTGTTGATGTCTCCTGTTGTTCCACTTGCTCCACTGGCGGATCGTTGATTTCCACCTGGTGGCGGCGTGCTCTGCTCGCCAGACATTCTTCAAGACGCAGTCGAAACCCTAGGGTTCGCTGTGCTCTGATACCATGTAAACTTTGTAGAAAAGACAAACGAATTGGAGGGGAAAGCTCAGCTGTGTACTGAGTCTCCAGTAGCTTTTATAGCTACAAATCCGATTAACAAACATAGTCCAGCTGTCCTTACATGATAGGGTATTAATTTAAACAAACAGTGAAAATTAACGGCTAACAAACTAAGTAGAACACTGCCGTTTGCTCCTCAACTGAACTCCTTCTTCTTCTTTCATACGTCGTCGTCCTTCAGTCCTCAGTGCACTAGGATTCGATGTTCTGCAAATCAATTCTTCTGCAACTCTGTTCTTCTGCAACTCAATTCTGTCAAAGACCCAACCCAAGAAGATTAAGAAGAAGAGCAAAAATCACAACCACGACTTTCACGGGCACGATGAAGATGACGAAGATTGAGAAGCAGTCTCCGCAACTAGTGGAGACGGCGAGGGAGCAAAGGGCGGAGCAGGGTGGTAAGTGGAGGAGAGGTAAAGGATTAGGGATTTAGGGGATGTAGAGGAGATGGAAAGGAGGAGGAAGAGGAAGCGAAGAGAGAGATGGTTGGGGGAGGAGAGGGAAAGCGATTTTGGGCAGAAGATTGTTGCTATGGAGTAGAGCTAGAAAACATATATTTTTTTTAATTTCTAAATTAATTATTATTATAACTCAAAATTACGTGGTAATGGTATGTTGACTGGTCACTGACGTGTGCGATAATTTGGCATCCTAGTTAGGCTAACGTTAACCTAACTGACGGAGTTTCTAACACCATTAAAGTTTCTAACGGAAATGACTAGATTTGTCACATGATCATCCAATTCTTAGACTATTTTGTGTTTTCGGATAGTTATGACTATGTTTATCACAAACATGAAAGTTATGACTATACAAGTGTATTTTGTCTTTTTTATATTTGAAGTCATACTATATATAGTTGTCTTGCTTTATTTTTGTCACCATATGTTTCATGCACAAATTTCATGTAATATTTTCCCAAAAAATTTCCTCACATTTCATCTATGTTTCGAGTAATTTTATGCAAGGTTTGTGAATCGTATCGGAGACTGTATCGGAAAAGTTAGCGTTAATATATTTTATTATGAAACTGTGGCTTAACTGTAGTTCAACCGTTAATATTGCTAACTAGTATACCACTTATCGGCTATCAGTTTAGCCTCTGATACTAACATTTTGATGTTGAACCACCGGTACGGTACGATTTCGATGATAGTTTTAGATTTTATTTCTTATATACTCATTGATAGTACATTTCTTCATGTTTATTGTTTTTTCATTAAACTTTCTTGTAACTAAGGTATAATGTATTTTACTATTTGCTTTACGTTGAATATATTTTTATCTTTTTATGGCAAAAAAAAAAGAAGAATATATCTTATCTTTTTCTTTCTTAAATTTTGGGTTATCTCTAGGGATAACCAAAATAATGAAAATATTGCGCCCAACCGCGGTATTAATAAAATACTGCGATATACCGTCATTCGTATTGCCAATTTATCGCATTCGTTTTCAGTTCAAGGACTCGAAACGTTTCTCTTCTTTAGCGTTTTAGGCGGCGGTTTCAAGTCTCCCTCTGCAGTCGGTTGAGTTTCTCAGAGTTTCCCGTCTTCCGTTTCGCGTTTCGCGTTACCATTCAACACTCCAGTGGTTTATAAGTTCAATCTCATGGCTTAAACCCTTTCCAAAAACCGTTCCTCTTCTCCATCAGATCTCCGTTTTTATCATTTCTCTCCCACCTACCAAAAACCCAGCAACCTCACTCTCTCTCACCAATGGCGGCGACTTCATCCGCCCTCTTCAACTCCCCCCAACTCCAGAACCGCCGCCGCAACCGGATCCCCTCCGGCATCCGCTCCCCCAAACCCGCTCCCCATTTCGTCTCAATAGCCAGACCCAGAGCCACCCTTTCCTCTTCCTCCACCTCCGATCCTTCCAATCCGACACCCACCGCCGCCAATCCGACGAAAGGCTCCAGCATCCGCGACGAGGCCCGCCGCCACAACCTCGCTCACCCACAGCCGGCCAACAATTTCTCCGCCAAGTATGTGCCTTTCAACGCCGGCGCCAACTCCACCGAGTCATACTCCCTCGACGAGATCGTCTACCGTTCCCAATCCGGCGGCCTGCTCGACGTCCAGCACGATATGGAAGCGCTCAAGGCGTTCCCGGGTTCTTACTGGAAGGCCCTGTTCGATTCCCGCGTCGGGAAGACGACTTGGCCGTACGGATCAGGGGTTTGGTCGAAGAAAGAGTGGGTCTTGCCCGAGATTTCGAGTGATGACATTGTGAGTGCCTTTGAAGGGAACTCGAATCTGTTCTGGGCGGAGAGGTACGGGAAGCAGTTTCTGCAGATGAGTGAGCTGTGGGTCAAGCATTGTGGGATCAGCCACACGGGGAGCTTCAAGGATTTGGGGATGACTGTATTGGTGAGTCAGGTGAACAGGTTGAGGAAGATGAACAAACCGGTGGTCGGGGTTGGATGTGCTTCTACGGGTGATACTTCTGCTGCTCTATCTGCATACTGCGCTTCAGCTGGTATTCCTTCTATCGTGTTTTTGCCTGCTAATAAGATCTCCATGGCTCAGCTGGTTCAGCCGATTGCTAATGGAGCATTTGTGTTGAGCATAGATACCGATTTCGATGGTTGTATGCAACTGATCAGGGAAGTTACAGCTGAATTGCCTATTTACTTAGCTAACTCACTGAACAGTTTGAGGTTAGAAGGACAGAAAACTGCTGCCATTGAAATACTGCAGCAGTTTGATTGGGAAGTCCCTGAATGGGTCATTGTTCCTGGTGGTAACTTGGGCAATATTTATGCATTCTACAAAGGGTTCCACATGTGTAAAGAACTAGGGCTTGTTGATAGAATCCCCAGGCTAGTCTGTGCTCAGGCTGCAAATGCAAACCCTCTTTACCTGTACTACAAATCCGGGTGGAAGGATTTCAGCCCCGTGAAGGCCAACAGTACCTTTGCATCCGCTATCCAGATAGGGGATCCGGTTTCAATCGATAGAGCTGTTTATGCTTTGAAGAAGTGTAATGGGATTGTTGAGGAAGCTACCGAGGAGGAACTAATGGATGCTATGGCACAAGCTGACTCTACTGGGATGTTCATATGTCCTCACACCGGCGTGGCACTGACTGCTTTGATTAAGCTTAGGAATGCTGGGATTATAGGTCCGAACGACCGGACTGTGGTGGTGAGTACTGCACATGGGTTGAAGTTTACGCAGAGCAAGATCGACTATCACTCGCGTGATATCAAAGACATGGCTTGTAGGTTTGCTAATCCGCCTGTGAATGTGAGGGCAGATTTCGGGTCTGTAATGGATGTTCTGAAGAAGTATCTGTTGAGTAAATCTCATTAGGGCAGGGTGATTGATGACTAGCTGTCGAGTAGTTTTTGGATGTTGCTTCATTCTCTCCGGCTCGTTGCTTCAGTTTGTTGTTTAGTAGACGTTGGGGGCACTTCATCTTTTTAATGAGCATTCATGTAACTTTTGAGGATCTTATGCTCTACTGGCATTGCCATTTTTTTACACACTGAAAAACTTGGTGCTTTTGAGTATCTAAATAAGTTCATTTTTCATCTTTGTTTTTTTAGCCATTTTGGACCATGTTTTGTCTGTTATATCTTTTGATTCGGTTTGCTGACAGATATTTGTGTCGATTCGGTTTGTATTGCCAGCCATTTATCAAGTATGAAGTTGGTCTTGTAGGTATTTGTATCGATTCGGTTTGTATTGTTTATCGATTCGGTTTGTATTGTCAGCCATACTTGAGAGGGAGAGGTATTGTCAGTCAGTCCACTATTTATCAAGTATGAAGTTGGTCTTGTAGGTATAAGCCAAGATTCCTCATCATAGAAATGTGTAATTGTTGTTAACTTCTGTGATGGTCTATGTTCAAAATTCTACCTTCTTTTTTTGTACTCAATCCTCCATTTCTGGTACATGAGTATACAGACTCATTAAGATTGGATTATCGGACTCGACTAGTTTTTTCTGACCTACTATGTAAAAAGTAGCTTAGTGACCAAGGCTCAGAAGGGACACATGGTCAGAACCAAAAGATGCCCTACCAACACTAGAGCATGCGTGTTCGATATAAATCCACCAAGCGTAAAACACTTTTCACACCCTCAGCAACTACACTATGAATAATAGCAGCTCGCTCGACCATTCTCCCCATTTTCTAACAAGACCCAAGTCTCCAATCACACTCCGCAAGAGGGTAGAGATGGTGACATCTCCAAATAAAATTTATGTTAATGTTTAATAAAATTATAGTAGAAGTTGAGTTGCTCTGACTTTATAATTTTTTTATTCACTTGAATATAGGGTATCATGTTGATTAGATTTTTAGGCAAAAGAATAATTTTTTTTTTACAAAAGATAATCATATATTGATTCAGAAAAGAGATATTTACATCCTGGAATTTAGCCAGGTCTGAAAATCAAAAGATCGACTCATAGCCGGGTACAAAGAGAGGGTCTTTCTAACCACTACATGCTATTGTTCTCCCGACCTACGAATCGAATACTAAACCCCGCATGGGCACTAAAATACTAGACTATTTCTGCAAGAACAACACCCATCTTGTTGTCCCTAGTGTCTACCAGATTGATTTTGTCAATAATGACCTTGGCATCCCCCTCAAAAATGATGTTCGAGAAACCCAGCTCCAGACATCAAACAATAGCTTCCCTGAGCACGAGTAGTTCCACTAACATGGGGTCATCAATTGCTTGGAACTGAACTCCTTTAGCCATGAGGATTCCCCTAGCAGGATTTGCAAGAATCATCCCTCCTGCCGAATGAGACCCCCTTCTCGTGGCCCCATCCCAATAATCCTTTTCCTTGGTTATTAGTTCGATAATTGATCAAACAAATTACTTATTTTTTTGTTAAACATGATATACATTGTGTGGGGATAGTTTAGTTAGTGTGGTATAGTATTTGTTCTGATTCTTGACCTTTGCATCCCTCCTTCTACAACCATATTTCAGACAGCAGAGTTTTCCACCCCTGCTCAAACAAAACCTAAATATTGTAGGTATAGACATGATGATACCGGTGATCATACACAATTCGTTTGAACACTCTAATTCTCTTAGAGTCGTGTTTGGTTTGTTGTGGATTTTTATTAAAACTTCATTTGTGATTTATTTCCAACACTTTTAGCTCAAGTAACCAGGAATGAGAATCTCTATAAAACAATCAAGGATTGAGAAGAAAGATCAATCTGTGTTATCTAGCAAGCTGTTAAATATATACATCTTCACAAATATTAATTCCCTTCTCTATTACTAATAGCCAGCTTTCCTCATTTCATCCACAACACTACAGGAAGAAGGGAAGTTATTACAATACTTCACAACAGCAAGACATTCGGTTTAAACATTACTGCCGAAGAAACTACACGAGATTAGCGTCAGGTGAAACGACAATAGCATGCAGTTAAACACAGAACGAACAGACTGTCAATTAGAATTCTCACAATTCCCTCACATGGGTAAGTAACAGCTACACAATCATCCTCCAACCCTATAACCTCCAAGGTTATGTACAGTAAACTTGATACGTAGGATAGAGCCAGCAGTCCTATTCTAAATCCCATCAACAGCTACCTAACACATTTTCAGTCACCGTCATTGTATTCCAGTAGGTGAATGCAGAGAGAAAGGTTTGATCTTTACCAGCATTGATTCACAACAAAATAACTAGTAAAGCTATCGCCACTGCTATCGTGCATACCAGAGCCTGCAACAATGGGTACACTTGAGGATCAGAAGTTCTATTATGTAAGAAAATAATCCTTGGTATTCTCTTCTCTCGACTTTGGGAACGTGAAAAATGAGAGAGTAGAAATACTGACAGCTATTGCGCATGCAGCGAGACCTGATCTCTCCCTTGGATCCTTGTGATAGTAGCTCCCAAAGTAGAGGATTGTTGATGCGTACCACAGCAATGGGAAGACAAATCCAAGCAAGAAACTGCGTAGAATAAGGCAAAAGTTAACACAAAACCAAACAATTTGAGAGGAGGAAGAGACATTGAGCGTGCTAAAAGGTATGAAAGATGGCTTACGAAAACCATCCGATTCCACAGCCACAAAAAGGAAGGGGCTTGTCGAATATTTCCAGTTCAGGGTCCTCGGGATCTCTTATGTGCACATACTCGCCTCTTTTATCGTCCACCAAATCCTTCCCGTGCACTGCTTTCACCAAAACAAAAAGGTTGGAAAAATCAAATCTTGTTTAAGCTCGTGCGCCCAAAGCCACAACAGAGGCAAGCCGACCACTTCATTATCACAACCTAAAATGAGCTGTAGTTCTAAGGATGCCATCCCTAATTTCGTGATATCTAAGCTTTCGCCATTGAAAATAGGTGAAAGAACATTCTTCTCAAAAGCCTTGTTCTTTCACTTTCTACTTTCTGGATGATCAATTTGACTTCAAAGGAAAGATCTCTCCTTGTCTAGTAACAAACGTATGGCAAGAGTATGGAACTCTGACATACAGGTTCTAAGGCAATCTCAGATCCCTGACAACAACTAAGAACTGAAAAGGTATAGGGTATCGGGTATTGGCTATCATCAACATGGCTCAGTGACCTACGACATCGTTGAAATGCATGTATATGGGGATAGCAGTAAGGCAACAAAATAAAAAGTGCAAATAATTCAAAGTTCCCCTTAAAATGGAAGCATTGCAGCACAAATGTTACGAAATATAAAGCAGAAAAACATAACAGGAGCACCATACCTCGATCCATATGCCTAAAAATTAACAAGAGGTGGTTCACTTCTCTTCCCTGCCCTGCTTCTGCCGAGGGAATGTGCAGTAGGAAATGGCCCTGTGTCACACAAATCATCCAACAGTTTTCTATGTCAGGACACATGGAGCTTCACTGTCGAGAATTCAGAACAAATTCATATCCTTGCATTTCAAAATAAAAGATCATTTCACAAAGACCTCCACTAAGGACTGCAGAACGCATACCGGTATCACTTAACAGGAGAAGAATGTTATCACCAGAGTAACCCAAGAAGCTCCTTCAAGTCTACTCAGGTAAGAACCAAGACAATTTGAAGTGGTAACAAACTCACAACTCTCTCACACAGAGAGGAATAAGCATATAAAAAAACTAGCAAAATTATAAGACATTCAGAATACCAGAATCATGGGGTCGATTATATGGCTATATGAAACTCAGAACCCCAGAATCTGTCACCAACGGTGTTGCTTCGAGACAAAAGTTAAACTCCCCTCAACAACAAATACACTTACGAGCCTCAATCAAGAGAAAACAATACGAGAGAAACGCCAAAACTTCCCATATTAGAATACTGTAAACAAGAACATCAACTTAACCAATACTCCAAGTATATAGCAAAGCTTAGTAATCAAAACCGGACAACCGATGAAACCACATTTTCATTAAATAAAAAGCATAGGGCAACCTGGAGTGCTCACCTTGCTTACAAGTCAGCTGAAGGGCCCCACTACGAACTGGATTGCCAGATTCTTGAGCTACAATAGCAGAAGGAGAATCGATTAAAAAGCACTCGGACGCAGTCTGTATATACCCCTTTTGGTGAGGATACTATCTACAGAAGAAACCTCTCGAAAGAAAAACTCGTCTTCAGAACAACTCGAAAAACAAAGAAACTATCCAATTTTAGAATGCCAAGACAATCGCCAGACACAAAGGTGGGAAATTTGGCGCTAGAAGCAATAGAAAACCCGCAAGTTATCCAAAACCCAGAAGAGAAACAGGGAGAGCGAGCTTAAATACCTTAACTTACTGGCAGTAATTCGAAATACCGAAGTTGAAGGTTCCTTTACCCTTTGTCTTGGGCTTGTCGTTTCCCCTTTGTTCGTTCTTTCTGGGTTTTGATTCTGAAAAGATTGCGGCTTTGCCTCTTCGCATGAAGAGCAATAGAAAAGAATGGAACAAGAAGGGCGAGCTGGCGCGTTTGTTGACTCACTGGGAGAGTTGGGACTTGGGATGGGGAGTGGGAACGGTGGAATAGAAGAGTTCATCTAGTTACTATATTATGGTACTTTTATATGTTAGGTTCTAAATTTTGTAATTGGCTAATGGCATCACTTAAGTTCATGATGGCTAATTGCATCACTTAAGTTCATGATTGCATTTTAGCTTTAGACATTAGTACGTTCTTTACCAATAAAATTTGATCAATTAAAATCCTCAACTTGTATTACTAATTATACGTGGGACAACACCATCATTAGAGTTAAAGTTGTAAGCAATGTTGTAATGGCAAATTGGAGATGGACAAGATATTGTTACCTTCCGAGACAAATGAGCACCGACAAAGAAACCTATTATAACTTTGGTACGCTTCCCAAACCCTGTTGATTTCCAGAGGGTAGCGTTCTTTATCAAAGAAAGTTTAGGAAAATGGCATGTTCCGAGACTCCAATATACTTTGAGCCCATTTTGTTGCCCTTATTCCTAAAATTCTTCTTCCACGACTTCAAGAGAAGGACTCTAGAGTTTGACATTATACTAGATGGTAGATACATAGTTAAATTTGGCAATCACTTGGCACTAGAAGTATCCTTAGCCTCTAGTAGTAAATCCATGGGACTCACAAATCCCACCTAAACTCAAGTTCTTTATTTGGCAATGTTCCTCGCAACAATGGTGGCCCTACAATCCCGAGGCGTCAATTGTCTTATTCGATGTCCTGTTTGTTGGAGACATCGAGAGAGTATTGAGCACTTGTTCTCTAGAAGGTGATTCTGAAGTAGTCATTATGAAGCTTTGCCATGGAGTTATGATGGATTCTCTATGAGGGCCTGTCCTTCTAGAGTGTCTTCGACTTTTTGTTTCCGAGTCTGCTTGTATAAAGTTTAGGGTGGTTCCTAGAGGCGCAAATGGGACTTCCCATAGAGTGGCGCGAAAAGTCCTGGTTTTGTCCCTTCTTGAGTTAGTTTCTTTTGACTTTGTAGGGTACACCGAGGTGTTGTTTGGAGAGGGTTCCTGGATAACTTTCTTATTTTCTTTCTATCTTGACATTACATGGTGGAGAAAAGCTAGCATAGTTCTAGAGAAGGTTATCTACTTTTTTAAGGTGAATTTTTCATTTTTTTATGATAAACAAAACTTTTATTTCATCAAATTAATGTCGGTACAAGATCCATACTACCCAATGTTGTTCATCAACAAGCTTATATATAAGCAATTGCAAGGAAGAAAGACTTCACTACACAAAAACAAAACAAAGCCTATCAATGATGGTATTCCATACCAACAAGGCTATGAAATTTCAAGACTTCATGCCCTTAAAAGCTCTAACACATCTCCCATTTTGTAAACAAGCTCTTTAACTTCTAGTTTCTTCCTTCTATGAACTCTGCTACCTCTATCGAGAGCTAATGACAAGATTATGGATAAGTCTACCTATCTTGAAGTCATTGAAACACCTTAAAACTTCTTATTATCCTTCCTGCCAACCGCCAATGGTGAGTATCACTAAGAAGCATGTCAAACCTCCTTCTAAACCTGATTAACCAACCACCTTCCCTCTTAGTTTTAGAATTTTGTTCCAAGGCATGAGTTTGTTGTTCTTGTCTCATATATAGCCTATACTCCTTTAGGCAGGCAATGCACAAGGAATCGTAATCATGTAAAACATTTCAAATGTGTCTCACCAAGCATGCTTGATTCCAACTACTTAGACTAGCTCCAATCCATGGTGTCAAAATGCTATAAAGCCATATTTGGCTTTTTTTCTTCCTCCAACCCACAAAAAAATGGAAGCAAAAAATGGGTATTGGGTTTTTGGAAGTTAAATTTGGCTGGGTTTTGGGGTGGGGAGTGATATTTGGCTGCCAAAAAGTGGCCAGCTTGTCAGCTGGCGGAGAAGGGCGTCGGACGCGCGCCTGTGCGCGGGGGGCGCGCGTCCGGCGCCCTTCTCCGCAGCTGACGTGCTGTTATTTATTTATTTTTTCTTTTAACTTTTGTTGGTTGGGAATTTGTTTTGCCAATTTATTTTGGATTTTTTTCTCTATTCTCATTGGTTGTTTGTGATTCAATTTGAAATATAAATTTGAAATAATTGATGTAGTGACGAAAAAACGGTCATATTTTAACGGCCATAAAAAACGATCATATTTTAACGGCCATATTTTTTCTTATATATTACAGCACTCTTCATAGATTTCTCTTCACTCATTCTCAGAGCATAAATCGCATTCTCTCAAAATTCAATTGTTATCGTCTCTCAAAATAGAAATATGACAGGCAAGAGAGGACCTAATTGGCGTCCGAATGAAGATGAAATCTTGTGCAGAGCTTGGGTGTCGATATAAGAAGATGGAGTGGTTGGCACCAACCAGAAGTCTACAAGGTTGTGGGAAAGAGTGGCGGCAGAACATCAAAAATGGGATCCTACTACAATTCGTACTGCTATTGCAATGGAATCCCGAATGAGGATTATTTGCTATCACTACAATGCTTGGAAGGGAGTTTTGCAAAGAGCACAAAGACATCAATCGAGTGGCACAAAGACATCAATCGAATGGGAACAAGACTTTTGATTTTGAGCATTGTTTCGACATTCCTCGAAATTTTCCAAAGTGGTACTCCAATCCTGAACTGCTTGTTAGTCCCATTCCACATATGGGGCAAGGTTCCCAAAGTTCTTCCACAGGTTTTGGTTCTCAATCATCTCCCGTGGAAGGCCTTGATGACTTACCAGATGAAGGAGCTACGCCTTTCGTGTTGACTCGCCCTGCAGGACGCGACAAACAAAAGGCAGCAAAGAAGAAAGGTAATGTAGTTGCTGAATCGTCAGACATATACACTACTCAACTGCTAGAGTTTGGTAATGATATGAGAGAGAGGCAAAAGTCGAGGATGGAGTATGAAAACAGAAAAATGAATGTTCAAGAGAGGAGACTAGAGCAGGAGAAAGAGGAATGGGCATACAAGAGGCAAGTGAGGGAGCGTGAAGCGGAAAAGTGGGTTGTGGAGAAGAAAGAGAGGGAAGCTGGAATACTTCAACAAAATGTAGCTATTCTAGAGAAGGATTTGTCAAAGATGACACCAAGAAAGAAGAGATTTTGGAGGTGTAAACAAAATGACATTTATGGGTACGATCAAGATGATCCCAACTCTTATCCAAGTGATGGCGGAGATGGAGATGGCGATGCAAGTGGTGGAGGAGATGTCGATGAAAGTGGTGGAGAAGATGGCGATCACTTTCTTGTCATGGATTATTAATTAGAAGAAGATCCTATTTGCACTCTATTGTCTTTACATCTTTAATGTGTTGTGTGTACTCTTTCAACTTTGTTATTTTCATGTGTCATGTGTACTCTTTGAACTTTGAGCAATTCCATGTGTAATAAAAACAAGTGTTATTGAAAGTTTGAAATACAAACAACCAAGCAACATGAAATACAATCACACACTGAAACTTGAAATACAAACAACCAAGCAACATGAAGTAAAACAATGCTAGATATTGTCGTGCAAATTCCAAAGATGCTCAACCAAGTCATTTCTAAGCGCATGATGTGTTGTAGATGAGCGAAGCCTGTTATTTCTGGCCAAGTAATCAATTAGAGTTGATTGGTGTCGGTTGATTGGTTCAGGTTGTGCATGGACCTCATAATCAAGGTCATCATCCATCTCGTCATCAGAATCAACCTGCTCATCCTCGATTATCATGTTGTGTAATATAATGCACGTCAGCATTATATTGTTAAGCGTGACAACATCCCGAGCTCTTGCAGGGCCACGAACAATTGCCCATCTTGTTTGGAGGATTCCAAATGCCCGCTCCACATCTTTGCGGTGTGCTTCTTGATGTTGAGCAAACAAAGCCTCTTTGTTTGACCTTGGATTGCTGAAGGTCTTCACTAAAGTCGACCATGAGGGATAAATACCGTCAGCCAAATAATAACATTGATCATAAGCATGACCATTTACCTCAAATCGTACATGTGGAGCGCTTCCATTGACGATACGATCAAACACTGGAGACATCCCCAGAACATTTATATCGTTGTTCGATCCAGGTGTCCCAAAGAAAGCATGCCATATCCATGTGTTGTAGGAGGCCACCGCCTCCAGAATGATTGTTGGCCTATGCATGTGGCCGGTGTATTGTCCTGCCCAACCACTTGGACAATTCCTCCATTCCCAATGCATGCAGTCAATTGATCCAATCATTCCAGGAAAGCCACGACTTGAGGCTTTACGGAGTAAGATCCTTAAATCAGCAGGAGTAGGTGCGCGAAGGTATGTGGCCCCGTACATGTTGATAATGTTGTTGCAAAACTTTCTGAAGACCTCCATCAAGGTGCTCTCACCCATACGAACATACTCATCAAGTTGATTAGCTGGCGAACCATATGCTAGCATGCGCATCGCACCAGTAAGCTTCTGCTCTGGAGATAGTGACAATTGACCAAAGCTATCACGCCTTAGAGCAAATGAGGGGTCAAACCTCACAATGTCGCCCATAATGCGATGGAATAATCTTGGCTGCATCCGATAGCGCCTTCTGAATATGCGAGCATTGTATACTGGATTTGGATCGAAGTAATCCCTCATAAGACGTCGATTACATTCGACCCTCTCACGATCAATGTGACGTCGGCTTGTAGTTTGACGACGACTTGATGCACCTTCAGCCAGCCTCCGACCGATCAAACTCAAACGTAGGTGGTGAAACCTTTTGTACTCTTCGTTTTCTTCTTCTCCAGACGATGAGCTATCTGAGATACTCATGATGAATGTGTTTGTTTTAGAAATGGGAAGAAGTTTTAGTTGAGTTGATGAAAATGAAGAACTGTCATTTATAAAGACATTTGGTGCAAAAAATGACAAAAAAACGGTCGTAAAGTAACGGATACAAAAAAACGGATTTTTTGGAGTGGTCCCGAAGTTTTAACGGTAATATTTTAACGACTAATTTTTGAAAAAAAATTATCTCGGAATTTTAAAAAAATTACATCGAAAAATTTGTATTCAAAACTAATAATGAGCTATGAAAAAATTAGAGTGAAATATAAAAATTAGAGGTCAAATAAGTATGGTTTATTGAAATAAATTGAAAAAGGGAAATGGGAAGCTAAATTTAGCTTTTTATAGGGTTGGAGTGAAAAGTGGGGTTGGGGAGCTAAAAAACCATATTTGGCCATTTGGGGAGCTAAATTCCCCTTTATGGGTTGGAGTTAGCCTTAGATCTTTAAAACTAGCCCCCCCCCCCCCCCCCCCCCCCCCCTCCTCTTCTTCTCCAGGTAAAGCTCCTATTTTCCAATTCACCTATTTTCTTATTTTGAACAGCATCGCCCCAAAGGAAATCAGAGTAGAGTTTCTCTATGGCTATGAGTACTTTCTTTTGGTGGCTGAAAATACTCATCCAGTACTGAGTCACATTGATAAAGTAGCAACTTCTCTACATATGTTAGTAGCTTAGGTTGCCATCCCTGAGTTTGTTTGGTGATATTGTCAACAAAGGTTACACATTTAGCAGAGTTTAGCTTCCCAAGTCCCAACCATTAGAGGTCTGGGGTTTATCCATTAGATATAATGGTGTATGTATATATATATATATATATATATGGTAATGACTGGTATACTGCAGGAGTACACCAGTCTGACCTATATACATACCATGAATTAAACAAAGTTTGAGATATGATACTATACCCTAACTTCTAATGGATAAACTATAGACCCTAATTCTCTATATCCAAACCTAAAGTTCAATTTAATAAAAAAACAATAATTGACTGTTGATATTGGTAGAAGCCCATCAAAGTAAAGCACAAATTAATCAGAGCTTGTGGCATGATACTATACCTAACCTCTAATTGGTGAACCCCAGTCCCTAATTCTCTAACCCAAGCTACAAGATTCATTTAATGTAAAAAATGATAACAGACAGTTCTGATTCAACGAAATATATTGAAGTGCAAAAACCAAAAGTGAACGCAGACGTACGCTAGGCTTTGCCGTATATATATATATATATACTCCCCACTGGCTAACTACATATGTCTAGACTTCTAACTTAAGAAATGTTCTTCTGCCTTTTGTAGTTAAATGAGTTGGACCATACACCCTCTGCTATGCTTCAAATGTATCAAGGACGTCGCTCTCCAAGGCGTCCATTTCAACGTAAACTAAGTCCATCCGACTTCAATCACGGATTTTAGTTATGCTTCCTTTTTTCCATTTCTCGACCTCATTGTTAGATTTATTTGGTTTACTACATATTGGCGCCCTTGAATTGCAAATAAAAATTAGGCTAATTCACTTAAAGACCAAAGTATTCAAAAATTGTAATTTGTGTACTAAACTATTTAATATGACAAATTTGGCACGAACTATTTTTCTATAATGTTGACCGGCGTTAACCGTTAGTATTTAACAGAAAATCTAGTCAACATCTATGTGGTTTTGTGCTAGATTTGTCATAATTGAATAGTTTAGGACACAAATGTCACAAAACGCACATAGTTTGTGCTAGATTTGTCATCTTAAAATAGTTTGGGCTTACTAGTGGAACCCTAAAAATTATGATTTCTTTTGTGAGATAGTTTGAATGCTTTGTTAGAATTTTTTGCTGACAAATTATATGAATTTGAAATTATTTATGATTAGTGATAAATTCACTCCTACATTAGTGTATTATATATGTCCTTTATGTTATTAGCGCATGGATGAATCAACCAACGGTTAACCGTTGAACCATCAACCACTATTTTTCCGGTTTAGCATCTGGTTCGAAAAACATTGCTCATAACCATGGTTGTCACACCGGCCGACATGCCACAAGTTGAACCACCGGACACCGGTACCTGTCATGAAACCAGTGTGAACACCACCGGTATGAGTGGCATGATCGATTTGCGAATCTCTAAATAAAATGACATCATTTTAGTGAATTTAATTAATAAAAATTAATTTATTATTTATTTTATGAGTTTTAAAAGTTAATGTTGTTATTTGTTGGATTCAAATATAAAAATTTAGGTATTGACCTTAAATGTTCTATTTAAATACGAGTATTTGTAATTTTATTTGGATTGTTACATTTTATTTAAATATCAATATGAATTGTAAGTAAATTGTCTTCAAATATGATTTACATCTTGTTAAATTAATTCAATATTAATGAATTTTCCATATTTCTACATACTTTATTAACCGACATGAATCGACACAAACAGATTATACTTTTTTTTGTAAGAAACAGAGCGCATGGGGCGCTCTAACCCTTAATTATTGAAAACGCGGGACGCATAGATCTCGATAGTGTCGTAGTACAACCAATAATTAAGCATGGGGTCTGAGGTGGAAACCAGATGAAACCCCACCGGACGACTATGGCCAAGGGAAGCCAAGTAATCCGCCACTACATTGCCCTCCCGGAGCACATGTGAAATATCAACTTCTCGATCCATAGCAAGCCATTTCTTGGTCGTTTGAATCAAGGTGCGGTGAGGATTGCTGTCACTTCCCTCCTGCAAGAGCGAGATGGCCGTAGCTGAATCTGTCTACAACACCACACGTCGATATCCAGTCTCCCAAGCCACTCGTAATTCATGCGCAATTCCCGCAAGTTCTGCATGAGTGATCGACCCACCTCCCAAGTTTATTGTAAAAGCCTTCAACATTCTTCCATCACTGCTCCGTAGAACACCCCCTGCTGTCGAGCTCCCTTGAGACATGATCACCGACCCATCAGTGTTCAGGCAAACCCACTCGTTCGGCGGTCGCTGCCAGCAAATGTCTCTTCTAATCTGTCCGCCGTGCCCTGTGACCTTCTGGTTTACGCGGGAGGCTTCGTCGATCTGAGTCCGCAGCAGCCGCACTCGGAGGGTTAGGCCTTCTGCATCCAGCATGCTTTTCTCGAAAACCCGATTGTTGCGGTTCTTCCATAGTTGCCAGCACACCAGGGAAAAGGCCGACGCGTCCACCACTTTGCTACGTCCGTTGATATAATGCATCCCCCATTTCTTCAAATCTTGCTCGAAGAATAGATCATCGGGTTCATCCGCCAAAAATATGGACCAAACACCACGGGCATAGGGGCAATCTCGAATGGCATGCAGGGTCGTTTCCGGCCCCGAGCCAAATCAGACAGTTGTCGTTCTGCATTAGGTGCCGCCGTTTCCTCTCCGCATTTGTGAGTAGGCGATTGTGGAGTACTAGCCAGCAAAACGTCCTCGTGCGCTGTGGCCCTTCGATTTTCCAAGTCGCATTTCAGATTGGGTGACTTTGACCCACATCATACACCTCCCATGTAAGC